AGCCCTGGTTTCTTTAGTGGATGTTATAGACTGAATGTTTCTGTCCCTCCAAATTCCTGTGTTACAGCCTTAACCCCCAATGTGATGGTATTTGGTGATGTGGCCTTTGGGAGATAGGGTTAAATGAGATCATGAGGGTGGGACCCTTATGATGGGATTAGTGTCCTTAGAAGAGACACCAGGCTGGATGTGGTTGTTCATGCCTGTAATTCTAGCACTTTGGGAAGCTGAGGCAAGAGGATCACTGTAGGCCAGGAATTCAAGACCAGCCTGGGCAACAGCAAGAGTTCTAGACACTGTCTCTACAAAAAAATAAAATTAAAAACAAATTAGCCAGGCATGGTTGCATGTGCATGTAGTCCCAGCTACTCAGGAGACTGAGGTGGGAAGGCTTGAGCCCAGAAGTTTGAGGCTGCAGTGAGATATCACGTCACTGCACTCCAGCCTGTGTGACAGAGTGAGAATCTGTATAGTGGGGGAGGGGGAAGAAGAGACATTAGAGGGCTTGCTCTGTTTCTGCCATATAAGTACACAGGGAGAAGGTGGCCATCTGTAAGCCAGGAAGAGAGCCCTAAACAGAAACCAAATTAGCCATACTTTAATTTTGGAGTTCCTCCAGAACTGTGAGAATACATTTATTGTTGGCATTTTGTAATGGCAGCCCAAGCAGACTAAAACAGTGAGGAATTTGGAAGGCAAGCTCCAGGGCCTTCTCAGTGGAATATATGTAGGTGGATGCATACCTACATATGTTCACACATTTATATTTCTTCATCTATTTTTTTTATAGATTTTTAAACCATGAATTTACTTAAATCCATTTCCAGCCCAACTCTACAGGTTTTCTCCATTTGTGTATTCATACCTCCCTTCTCTTGACAGTGATAAACCTGGCTTCCACTATGGTTAGTATATTCACTTTGATCAAGTCTCCTGTATGCAACCCCTCTGTCATCTCTGCTGACACCCTTTCCCCATACAGACGCTCCTCTCCATGCTCGAGCATTTCAGGTTGCTGCTACCCACCATGTGAATAACTTCCTCACTCTGTCCCTGATACCCCATACCTAGCTGCCCATAATTATAGATACACTCCTCACCTTAGTAGGTATCTGACACCTAACTCTAAGCTACCATAATTCCCTTCTACCCACTGTAAAGACTTTGATCTGGACCTCTGTGCAGAAGAGTTAAAATACCAGGTCTGAGACTGCTATCCTTAGAAAGCCCTGCTAGCAAGGTTTGCCCTTGGCTGGCATTTGGGAACTTGGATTTGGGGAAGGATTCCCCCCTTTCTCTAACAGATAGGGTGGCTCACTATGCCTAACAGATTTAACATTTCCACACATGTCACTTGTTGCTGGAGGAATTAAGAGCATCCTGTGTGACTCCACTGGAAGAGAACTCTTGGAAGCTGGTGTTTGGTTTCCTCTGGACGTCACTCAATTCCCTTTCTACTCTTTGCTGATTTTGCTTTGTATCCTTTTGCTGTAATAAATAATTGTTGTATGACTATGTTGAGTCCTCCTATGCTGAGTGGTCCTAGTGAATCATTAAACCTGCAGATAGTCTTGAGGGCCCAACCACCTAATGACTTTAAAACAATAATTTGGGGCCGGGCGCTGTGGCTCACGCCTGTAATCCTAGCTCTTGGGAGGCCGAGGCGGGTGGATTGCTCAAGGTCAGGAGTTCAAAACCAGCCTGAGCAAGAGCGAGACCCCGTCTCTACTATAAATAGAAAGAAATTAATTGGCCAACTGATATATATATAAAAAATTAGCCGGGCATGGTGGCGCATGCCTGTAGTCCCAGCTACTCGGGAGGCTGAGACAGGAGGATCGCTTGAGCCCAGGAGTTTGAGGTTGCTGTGAGCTAGGCTGACGCCACGGCACTCACTCTAGCCTGGACAACAAAGTGAGACTCTGTCTCAAAAAAAAAAAAACAAAAACAAAAAAACAATAATTTGGGGGGCCGGGGAACGCAAGGGAGGGGGTGGCGGAAAGAGAAAAAAAGAAAAAACAAAAAGTTCAGGGAGGATTGTAAGAGGGCAATTCATTTAATTATTTGACATCACTTTATCTCAGCTTTACCATCCTGTATGTTGTTTTCTATTTTTCTCTTCTTTGTTCCTTTGGTCTCTTTTCTTGATTTGAGTCAATCACATAATTTTTAACAAAATTATGTGATTTTACTAAATCTTCTCTAATGGTTTTTTAGATCTACTATTTTTTCAGTGACTGGGTAAGAGATTACAATATGCATCCTTAATTTACCATGGACTACCTTACATTAATACTATCCCACTTTGTGTACAATGTAATAAACTTATTTCAATATAATTCCATTTATTGCCCTCTATGGCCCTTTGTGCTATTTTTATCCTCTATTTTACTTCTACATACATTATAAATACTGTACTTTTATTTTGCTTTAAATGGCCAATAGATATGTAGAAAAAATGTCTTTCATATTTACCAACATATTTATCATTTCCAAAGTTTTTAATTCCTTCCTGGAGATACAGGTTCCCATTGTGGATAATATTCCTTCAGCCTAAAGAATTTCTTAAAGCATTTCTTATTCCTATGTCAGTCTGCCAGCAGTACATTCTGGTTTTGTTCATCTGGGAAAGCTTTTATTTTGCCTTAACACTTTGAAGGATATGTTAACTAGATATAAAATTTTAGGTTAACTTTTATTGTTTAATCATTACACCTTAAAGATATCATTCCACCATTTTCTGAATTCTATTGTTTCCGATGAGGTTAGCCCATTGCTCTTGTTTATTTGATGTAATGCTATCTGCTTGCCCCAAAGCTGCTTTTAAGCCATTTTTTTTTTCTTTTGGGGCAATGTGATGTATCCAGATGGTTTTTTTTGTTTTGTTTTGTTTTTTGAGACAGAGTCTCACTCTGTTGCCCAGGCTAGAGTGCTGCATCAGCCTAGCTCACAGCAACCTCAAACTCCTGGGCTCAAGCAATCCTCCTGCCTCAGCCTCCCAAGTAGCTGGGACTACAGGCATGGGCTACCATGCCCGGCTAATTTTTTCTATGTATTTTTAGTTGTCTAGCTAATTTCTTTCTATTTCTAGTAGAGATGGGGTCTCATTCTTGCTCAGGCTGGTTTTGAACTCCTGACCTTGAGCGATCGGCCAGCTTCGGCCTCCCAGAGTGCTAGGATTACAGGCATGAGCCACCATGCCCAGCCAGATGTGATCTTTGTTATATTTTTCTTGGGGTTCACTGAACTTGTATCTGTAAGTTGATGTCTTTCAACAAATTTGAGAAAATTTGGGGCATTATTGCTTCAAATATTTCTCTTGCCCCATTCTCTTCCTTTACCTCAAATTACAGGAACATTAAACTGATAATGTCCCACAGGTCTCAAACATCTATTTTTTTTTCTCTCTATGCTTTGGTATGATAATTTTATTGGTTTGTATTGCAGTTTACTGTCCTCTACTGTGTCCAGTTTACTGCTAAGTCCATCCAGTGAAAATTTTAATTTCAGATACTGTATTTTTCACTTCAAATTGCTATTTTTCATTGAGACTTTCCATTGTTTTTTTTAATATTTAGTCTCCATAGAGCCTATCAAAAATTGCCAATGCTGACTATATCGCAAGTCATCACACTGGGGTATTGGGAAAAGTTTTCAATTAGCAATAATCATGTATTGGATAAATCACACTGGCTACAACTATATATTCCCACTATGCAAAGCTACCATTGGGTTTTTCATTTCTATTCTCTGCTGAAAATCCCAATCTGTTCATCCACTATCTCTTTAACATATTTTATTTATTTTTGAGATGGAGTCTCACTGTTGCTCAAGCTAGTATGCAATGGCATCATCGCAGTTCACTGCAACTTCAAACTCCTGGGCTCAAGGGATCCTCCCGCCTGCACCCCCACGTTCAGATAATTTTTCTGTTTTAGTAGAGACAGGGTCTCACTCTTGCTCAGGCTGGTCTCAAACTCCTGAGCTCAAGCAATCCTCCTGCCTTGGTGTCCCCAGAGTGCTAGGATTACAGGCATGAGCCATCATGCCCGGCCACATAATATTTTAAAGCTATTTTAAAATCACTCTCACAGGGGTCATTGGTGCATCTGCTTCTGTGTATTTTCTATCAATTATGGTATAATAACAATTTTTTATCAGGGAAATTGATACAAAAGGATCACAAGTTTTCTTTGTATGCTTACTAATTGTTTATTGTGTACTGAACTTTGGGGATAGATATGTTTTGAAGACTTTGGATTGTTTTTTTCTAGATGTTTTGTTCTGGCTTTAAATTACAAATGGATAATCTTGATGCTGTGATTTAAGCTTTGTTACAGTGAGTTTCTTTCCATTTTGCCCTTAGTGCTAAAACACAGCCCTCAGTTGTAGGATGCTGTCATTCCTCAAGGCATGGTCCTTTTTGGGTTTCAATGGGAAACAGAAAGTGTTTACTCAGCCACTCTTAGTGGATCTTTAATTTCAAACTCTGCCCTTGAGCAGTTGCAATCTCTGCTCAGTTCAACTACTTCTGCTGGGTTCCTTTGAATATCACACTGCATGGGGACATCTTGGAATCCACTAAGGATTTGAAAGGAATATGTAAGGGTGATTTGGGCCTTACTTTCTGAGGTACTCTCCTTCCCAAAATTTCCCTTCTAATTTTCAGTTCTAGAAGGCCCAAATGACTCCTCAGCCCAGCAAGACTGCCATATTCTGCTTGAGTTCTATTTCCAAAGTGAGCTGTACAAACTGGAAACTGCCCTATGGTTTGCAGCTGGTTAATGTGGATGTCTCCTACTGCAGGATTTTGTGCAGTTTCTGCCTGGTTTTGATTGCTTTCTAGAGCCTTCTAATCATTGCTTTCTATCTATATTTTGTTCGGAGTGTATAATTGTTATTGACAACAGTTAGTCCAATATAAGCTGCTCCTTCATTATCATACTGCAACCCCTGAAATCTCAAAAGTTTTAGAGTAAAAAATTAAAGGCAAAATATATTTTATCATTTATTTCCAATCCATTAGGGAAAAACCTACTTTATGCAGCTGTACTCTTTAATTCATTTCTTCCAGAAAAAAGTACAAAAGACCAGACTAAAATTGAGACAAACATTTAAAGGAAAACTCCTTCGACTCTGAGTTTAAAAACAAACTATAAATGGTTCATTTTACCAAAAGAATTACCTTTTGTACAAAATATAAAGAATTTTACACTATAAACAAAGACTGCTGTAGCCATACTTAAATTAGAATTCTATTATCTTCTTTTCCTCCAATTCTTCTTGAGCACGAAGCATATTTCCAAGTCAGAAATCCAATAACCTCAATGGGCAGACTATCTCAGAGTAAGCTTTTACTTTTAGTATATCTGGGAGGACAGTACTGATTCCTTCCCTTGGCTCAAAGTCCAGTACATATCAGCAAGTTCTAATTTAGTTTACAAAACTCTGCCACATTAACATGAAGAGCACTCTAACGCTTAATGTTTAAGCAATATCTTCTAGGAAGTAATATAATAGAACTCAACACAAAATCTAAAAGGTCACAATCTAGGTCAATATTAATTCAGAAAACCTCAACAACTTCTATCTTTATTGAAAAAGACCAAACCAATCTCTTATCTACTAAATCATCATTCTATTTTCATGGCCCTTCTCTGATAGAAATACAGCTTAAAATAAAACTCAGTCATAGTAAGTCATAGAAAATAGTTCTCTAGCACTAGCTGAATTCCAGACTTGATCAGGAAAGTAAAGTAACTTCTATACAGCAATATAATTTTCTGATTCAATATTTATAACTTTTATATCTTTTAACATTTGAAATCTTTGTTATCCAAAAACTTTCCCAATGGAATAATCATGATAATTTTAAAGGAGATATTTTAAAAGTTAAGCTGGAACCCCATAGTTCTTTACTATGATTAGCTAGTTATCTAAATATCAATAATCTTAATCCCTTTCTAAATGAAAACAAAATGCAATTTTATGGGCTTTCTTAAAAATATTTTAATTTGAAATTTCCCCCAATTCTTTTCATATACTTAACTACCACCTTTCATTATCAATATTTTCTAACTGATGCTTTAATGTTTGATATCTTAAAAAGATACTACCCATATAAAATATGCATAGCTCTGGTTTAAAATGTTTTCCTGTTGATCTCAACTCTCATTTTTTATTATGCAGGGAGTTCTAAAGTCATGATTAAAAGAGACATCATTCAAATTATGGCTACAAACAGTGTATGATCTTAAGAAATTATATGTCTTCTACAAGAGCAAGAGTAAAATTAAGAATAATTTATGTCTTTATTATAAAATTCTTATCTATTTGGGGCAAAGTTTTCATTTTAATGTATTCTCTCAAAACCAAATAAATCTTTCCTAAATGAAAAATCTTTGTTATTTCTACAAATTATTCTTTCCATCCAAGAGATTTTACATAGCATCATTTAAGCACCAAAGAAAAATTCTGTAAACAAACTTTTAACCAGTAAACTAAGGGCAAATATCCATTTGCCTTTATTACAATATTTAAAAGGCCATGACATGAGTCTACTTCCTACAATGACATTTTATAATAAAAATCCAGGCATATTTATACAAACAAGAAACAGAATTACTGTACATTTTTGGGGAACAAAAGGCAGATCGACAGACTAGAACTTTTTAGTTAATAAAGAGAGCACAAGAAACCTATAAAATGTATGCAATGTATAAAAATTCAGTATTTTTTTAAAGTTTCATTGAAGGGATTAATAATTATTAGGAATAAAAGATGGTATTTCCACTGGCTTCTCATTATCCTGTAAACAGTAAGAAAGTAATAAGCAATAAATTAGAAATGTCTTAGCTCCAAGTATTTCCCTTCTCTCACACTGGAATCAGTTTTAGAGCAATATTAGAATAATTCTAGCAGAAAATAAATTCCATCAGAAATAAGTTAACAGTCTACAGTAGATTTTTGACAAATATATTAGAAAAAATACTGCAGGTCACATGAAGACTGATTTACACATGTTATACGATAGAGTAGCTCAAACCTTCAAACCTTGTCTATTCTACCAGATTTGTGTTGTTGCTATTATATTGCTTTCTAAATTGTTTGGTAGCAAGGTAATAGAAAAATAAGAAGTGAAAAGAACACAACAATTGTATGATGTCTGTAGATTTATGAAGAAAAAACCCTCAACATAACTTTTTCCTATTACTGTTACGTAGAAAAAAGTTTCATTTGGCACACTGAATTTATTTAAAAAAACAAAAAACAAACAAAAAAGAAACTTAAGAGTGTTTGGCATTCCAATCACCCATGGTTAAGACAACAGTGGGAAAGAAAAGTAGGAAAAATTACTATTTTAAGAAAAACACCAGAAGACGAACAACCAAAGCCTCTTATGTCTTCTACCATTCACTGTCTCTGGAATACTTTCATCTGCAACATGATATACAAATTATTATTTACATTATGATTATAACAGTAAAGAAGACCAGAATCAGTTTGTGTTGTGCTCTAACTTACAGTGCTCATTAGGATAACCATGACCATCAAGGCAAGAAAGCCTTAAACAAGAAAATATTTCATTCGCATTGTATATTTTATTTAAATTTGTTTTCTGGTTCAAGTTTGGTGCACAAATATGTAAGACTTTGCAAAATCCTGTAAACTTAGGCTGCGATTCTGTAGCTGATAACTGTTCACTGAAGACTGTGAGTTTCTCTCTTGTTAAGTAAAATGTTCTGCAGGCTAACAAAGGTATATCCTCAAACGGTAGTATCTCCAAAGTCCTTGTTCCAACGTATGTACGCTTCTAAGGTTTGAGGGCTCACGCTGCGTTTTATCTTTTTCAAGGATTCAGTGAAGTCAGATAATCGAATATTTCTCATCTAGATTTTTAAAAAACACATCACGATATAAATGATGAACATGTATACAATGGTTAACTCAATGACAGATTATAGTAATGGTGCTGTTGTTTATTAATGTTATAATATATGTAAATATATTCCTAGAAAGTCATGCCAATCATTTAAATAGATTCTCTGTATTATTATATAAGTTTGCTATATAAGAAACCTTAGTGCTATACTACTTTTATTACTTGTGTTTAGTTTCATAGTAATAACATTTCAAAGTATAATATTTTTCTAGTATAAAAACAAAACACACTCCTTATAAAAACATTGACAAGGCTGGGAGTGGTGGCTCACGCCTGTAATTCTAGCACTCTGGAAGGCCGAGGCGGGAGGAGGATCATTTGAGCTCAGGAGTTCAAGACCAGCCTGAGCAAGAGCAAGACCTTGTCTCTACTATAAATAGAAAGAAATTAGCCAAACAACTAAAAATATATAGGAAAAATTAGCCAGGCACAGTGGTATATGCCTGTAGTCCCAGATATCCAGGAGACTGAAGCAGTAGGATTGCTTGAGCCAGGAGTTTGAGGTTGCTGTGAGCTAGGCTGACGCCACGGCACTTAAAAAAAAAAAAAGTTAACAAAACACAGGCAAGTACCATGTTTCCCCGAAAATAAGACCTACCCATAAAATAAGTCCTAGCGGGATTTCTAAGCATTTGCGCAATTTAAGCCCTACCCCAAAAATAAGACCTAGTGATGGGCGTGGCTACGTAGCATATCTGCACAACTCATGCATTTCGTTGGGGAGTGGTAAAGAAGATGAGCAGCCCTTCTCATCTGCCCCGTGAGAGCTCTATTGCTCGACATGAGAGACTGGGGCCAATTATTCTAAAGGAAATGGAGTCTCAAGAAATTCAGGATGTAATTTGCAGTTTGAAGAGTTATGATGATGTTCCAGAAGAAGATGACTTAACTATATTTGAATAAATGTAGATTGTTGTACCATACGTAAAAAAAAAATAACACATCCCCTGAAAATAAGCCCTAGGATGTCTTCCTGAGGAAAAATAAATATAAGACTCTGTCTTATTTTCAGGGAAACACGGTAGAAAAAAGAATCACAGTTCCACTGCCCATATATACAACCATTATCTGAATTATTTCCTTCCAATGTTTTTTCTATGTATACTTTCAATAAATTTTGCTTTATCAAGTCTCATCACAAGCATACTCTGGCTAAATTCATACTAGGGTGTATTAGAAAGGAAAGGGAAGTTTACAACAAATGCATAGAACTTTAAAGGAAATGTTGCTCTTTAACTACAACATATAGGATGCTTATATCTGAAATTTTCTACAGTTCTAATATGGCTTATGCAGTTTATATTAATTTGGTCTTATTTTCTAACATTTTTAATTGCTTTTGGAAATGTTGATTAAAACAATGCTAAGTTAATAAATATGTATATTTACCTAAGTATTTTTAAATGCAAAATGGAGTTTGGTACAAAATGGCCCATGTTAAAAACATTAGTAGCATATATCTGTATATCTGGCCCAAAAATAAGAAGTTGAAGAATTTTAGACAAAATTTCAACAACTGGTATTTTCTATATTTTTTATTACTCTTATAAAACCCAATTGAACTACTTCAATCATCTTTGATATCTCATGAGTATAGATTAAAAATCACATATACTTATAAACTAATCTGAAAAATCTTAGCCATAAAGAAAAAAGACATATAGTTACCACACAAACACTATGTGAACTCTGTTTCCTCCTTTTTTCTTTCTTTTTTTTTTGAAACAGAGTCTTTCTCTGTCACCCAGGCTAGAGTGCAGTAGTGTCATCATAGTTCACTGCAACTTCAAACTTCAGGGCTCAATTTAGTTTCCTGCCTCAGCCTCCCAAGTAGCTAGGACTACAGGCACCAGCCACCACACCTGGCTAAATTTTCTATTTTTTTATAGAGATACCAGTCTCTTGCTAAGGCTGGTCTCAGATTCCTGGCCTCAAGTGATCCTCCAACCTTGGCCTCCCAGAGTGTTAGGATTACAGGCATGCGTGACTGCACCCAGCCTGTTTCTTATTTAACTGTAAAACACATACTGGCTCTTCCTAAAGCCCAAAGTGTAGAAGAATGATGAATGTAATGTGGGTATTATCTATGACATTACTGAATAAAATCTGTTATAGAAATTAAGGTTTTAAAAACTTTTGATGAAATTCCCATCCCATTTAAGTATATAGTTTGGTGTATGTATATATATGAAATTTATATATGATATTTTAAAGTTAGTAAGAGACTAATGGTATGTAACAGGAAAAAGCAACTGGTAGTTCAGTAAGGAATAAAAATAGCAAAGATGTTTTATCAAAACAAAATGATAAAGTAGTTAGTAAGATTAATTTAGATACAAACTATGCTTGAAAAATGAAGTATAATATATCCCAAATCTATAACCTGTAATTTTAGTACTACTCCTTAAGAACAGAAATTCCAACCCAATTATTTGAATTTCTATTATTATAAGCTTTATATAAAAGAAAAATTGGGTTCTTCTTTTTTCTGCTGCTTCTCCCTTTTTTTTTTTATAGATAAAAGAGTCTCACTCTGTTCCCCAGGCTAGAGTGCAGTGGCAACACCATAGCTCACAACCTCAAAATCCTGGCCTCAAGTGATCCTCCTGCCTCAACCTCCCAAGTAGGTGGGACTATAGGGATACGCCACCACACCTGACTTATTTTTTTCTGTAGAGATGGGGTCTCGCTTTGGTGCTCTGGCTGGTCTTGATAGCCTCAAGCAATCCTCTTGCCTCAACTTCTCAAAGTGCTAGGATTACAGGTGTGAGTCACTGTGCCCAGCCAATTTGGGATTTTTCTTATTTAAATTTGTGTATATACACTGGTACCTGACAATACACTTAGTTATGAAAGTCATACCAAATAATGGATACATAAAATTCTAGAAGACAATTTTACAGACCAAACTACTTACTTGTGTTTACCTCTCATCCCATAAATGGGAATGACAGAATGGGTTTCCTTAATCTCTATAATGCCACTATTGAGTTTTCTGTATTTTAAAATTACTTAATAGACTCTTATATAGCATTTAGTATGTACCATACTATTTTCAGTGTTTTTTTTTTTTTGAGACAGAGTCTCATTCTGTTGCCCAGGCTAGAGTGCATCAGCCTAACTCACAGCAACCTCAAACTCCTGGGCTCAAGCAATCCTTCTGTCTCAGCCTCCCAAGTAGCTGGGTCTACAGGCATGCACTCCCATACCCAGCTAATTTTTTATATATATATATTTATTTTTAGTTGGCCAATCCAATTAATTTCTTTCTATTGATAGTAGAGACAGGGTCTCGCTCTTGCTCAGGCTGGCTTTGAACTCCTGACCTTGAGTGATCCTCCCACCTTGGCCTCCCAGAGTGCTAGGATTACAGGTGTGAGGCACCGTGCCCGGCCTCTCCCATATACTTTAAATCATCTCTAGATTATTTGTAATGTCTAATACAATTTAAATACTGCAGAAATACCATGTTTCCCCGAAAATAAGACAAGGTCTTATATTTATTTTTCCTTAAGAAGACACCCTAGGACTTATTTTCAGGGGATGTGTTATGTTTCCCTCAAAGCCTCAGCTTGCAGCACACACAGGATGGCCGGGACCTGACAGGGGGAGCCAGTGTTGGTGGGGCTGCCCGCACCTTTCCGGTCACCTCTGGGATAGTAGCTGTCACAATGGGGCAGATGAGAAGGGCTGCTCATCTTCTTTACAGCTCTGCGATGAAATGCATGGGTTGTGCAGATATGCTGCATAGCCATGCCCGTCACTAGGTCTTATTTTTGGGGTAGGGCTTAAATTGCGCAAATGCTTAGAAATCCTGCTAGGGTTTATTTTATGGGTAGGTCTTATTTTCGGGGAAACATGGTAAATAGTTGTTATACTATATTGTTTGGGGAACAATGGCAAGGAAAAAAGCCTATACATGTTCAGTATAGACCCTTTTTTCTCCCCTGAATATTTTCTATTTGCAGTTGATTGAATCCAAGAATGTGGAACTCACACATGTGGAGGGCCAGATGTAATTCAAGCCAGATTTCAAAAGTTTGTTCATATAGCTTATGACCATTCTGTAAATCCAATTTTATATTTTGAACGTAATTTTTTTTCAAAAGATATGCTTCAGCATCTCATAAGGGGGCCTTATTGAGAAAATGTAATAAATTATATTACAATGGTAACTATATTGCTTTTATAAGGAGAAAATAAAGATTACTGAAAAGCTAACAAAATAGAACATTAAAGGGTTAATTTATAACATGAAATCCAGCCTGGGCATGGTGGCTTACACCTGTAATCTTAGCACTCTGGGAGGCCAGGGCAGGAGGATTGCTTGAGATCAGGAGTTCGAGACCAGCCTGGGCAAGAGTGAGATCCCATCTCTACAAAAAGTAGAAAAAATTAGCTGGGTGTGGTGGCACCAGCTACTCTGGAGGCTGAGGCAGCAGGACTGCTTGAGCCCAGGAGTTTGAGGTTGCAGTGAAGCACTAGGCAGGATGACAGAGCAAGACTGTCTCTAAAAGAAAAAAAAATCCTCAAGTTTCCTAAATTTTCTTCTGTTTAATATTTATATGATATGATAGACAATGACTGCATGACTGCGTATATTATTTTGTCCATCACCAAGGAACATAAGACATTAATTTCACAAGCTACCATATTTTGAAATGAAGCAAAGTTAATTCTTTCTAGTTTCTAATTAAATAAACTAGAAAAATCCACATAAAAATATAAGTCTTACAATATAGAGGGATCAAAACAAAGAAAAGATAATTGTAAAACAGTATACCTCATTGGCAGACATATTCTTCACCTGTTCTGGTTTCAGTTCTATAAAATACAAATTTAAATTGCTGAGGGGCAAAACCACATACAATGAACTAAAAGTATATGTTCAATATAAATCATTACATGAAAAGAAAGAAACACAAATTAATATTGAGAGCACATATTATTTATGAACAGTTAGAATAATATTCCTTCTTAGGAGTAACTGGGAAGTAGTCGATGTCCTACATACTGCCCAAGAACAATAGTTTACTATTTGGAATTTGAAAGTGAACTTAAAAGAATACAACTTATTCTCTACAAAAGGCATTAGTTCATCTTTTCTTAATACAAAATTTTTGCCTGCTTCAGAATAATTACTGAAATATTCTAAAAAATACAAATGACTAATACATTATCTACTGTTTCTGAGTTTACTATCTGGACAAGAGTTCGTGCCTCAGGCAGCAAGAAAGTTTTTTTACCCAGAGTATCAAAATATATTTGCAAGATCATATTTGTTATTTTCCAAGGCAGTAGTTCTTAATCAGTACCCTGTTTTACTATGGGAGATGTGTTGCCAGTAATTTTTAACAAATAAAGCAAAAAATTTTTGTATAATGTACCCTTTTATAACACAAATTATAGCAGAAACTATGATAACATCTTTCTCATACAATTACACTTTCTTGAGTAAGAGATAAAGGGTGAAACTATAAGTAGTATTCTGGATGTTGTATGTTCTATGTTATATTATATCATCATAGCCAATAATCTGAGTGCATACCTGAGGACATCACTCATCCACTGCCTCTTAAGTTAGTTGTGGAAAAGTATCTGAGAACATCTATTCTAAAGGTGGTATCACAGTGAGTTTAACCTAATCTAAAAAGAATCAGCTGTAGTATTTCAGAATCAACAAATTGACTTGAATCAAAACATAGCAATAGCCGGGCGCGGTGGCTCACGCCTGTAATCCTAGCTCTTGGGAGGCCGAGGCGGGCGGATTGCTCAAGGTCAGGAGTTCAAAACCAGCCTGAGCAAGAGCGAGACCCCGTCTCTACTATAAATAGAAAGAAATTAATTGGCCAATTGATATATATATAAAAAATTAGCCGGGCATGGTGGCGCATGCCTGTAGTCCCAGCTACCCGGGAGGCTGAGGCAGAAGGATCGCTTGAGCCCAGGAGTTTGAGGTTGCTGTGAGCTAGGCTGACGCCACGGCACTCACTCTAGCCTGGGCAACAAAGCGAGACTCTGTCTCAAAAACAAAAAAAAAAAAAAAAAAAAAAAAAACATAGCAATAAATGTTTTGGTGTAAATTCTTGAATGATAACATATAATAAATAAAAACTTTTTCCTTATATAAGTTCCTTTAGAGACATTAATTTCGAATGATACTAGAATATTGAAAACAGCCAAAAAACAGAAAAGAACATTTCCCCTTAATTATTCTTTTCTGGATACTTTAAAAAGTTTTCTTCTCCTTTGAGTTTTCTTCTGCTACTTACTATCAGGAAGTGAAACCTGTTGTCTAGAACAAGGGTGATGGTCCAGTGGCTCACAACCTGTTTTCATATGACCTGTGAGCTAAGAATGGTTTTATATTTTTAAAGGGTTATAAAAAGAAAAAAGGGGATAACTATGCAACAGAGACCATATGTGGTCTACAAAGCCTAAAATATGTACTATTAGGTCCTTTACAGAAAAAGTTTCCTGATCCCTATCTAGAAACAACTTTGTAGCAAGTTTTCCACTGATAAAGCTTTACTGCTTTCATACTGATAATAAAAACGATCTCTCAGTAGGGACTTCTTAAATTTCTAAAGTAGTATAATAGTTCTAAATGTTTTAAGCTCTTGTACACACCCACCTCGGATAGGACCCAGTGCTGCATCTTTTGCCAAAGCTGTCAGATCACTTCCTGAGTATCCATCAGTCATTCTGAAAAGGGGAAGGAAGAAACAGCAAATTATTTTCATCTCTGCAGATTTAAACTCTCCATGTAAGAGTAGTAAACTAGTAAAAGCTAGTTTGCCTTTGTCAGTAAGCCAACAGTTATGTGGTTTGATTTTAAGGGGACAGGAAGGCTCATTTGCTGAAAACAAATAAAATAGTGTATCACTGGCTCCTTATATTGGCTCAAATTTTAATCATTAGAACCATTCCTTTAGAGTAAGGCATACTATCTCCAGAAGCTCCACTAAAAAACATATCACCTGGAAAGGGAACTTCTACAAGCAACTGGTGGCCAAATGACACAGAAACATAATTACTTCTATATAGTTAGTCTATATTTTGGCATAGAACACTCTTGCAATGGAATAAGGGTCAATCAGAGTAGATATCATTAAATGTGTGACAGATAAGATGAAGGAAGGGTCTGAAGTAGAAGACACTGGCAGAAAGAGGCACGCTTGAATAGGATGCTACAGCGGATAGTCCTGGACAGCCAAGAGGGAACAAGAACTAGGGAAGTGAGGCAAAGGGAAAGAGGAAAATAAAACAGGCAAAGAGCATTTACTTACCATGTACTATGATAAACAACTACACATATCAAACATTAGAATTCTTTATTGAAATGACAAAGAAGGACTTCCATACTTCCAAGAATGTAATTTGTTCTTTTCTCATAGGTATCTGGAAACTCACAGTTCTTATTAAATTTACTTGTTACTCACATACTTGTTGAATATTTTAAATTACTTTATGACATTTTTGGGGACTAAAATTCACAAATGCATCATCTGTATTCAATACACTACGTAAGTACACTATTAACTAAAAAGTTTAAGATGTAGATATAAAAAACATTCTATGTAATGCAAAAGAACAAGTTTATATAAAAATAACTGTTGGTGTGGGTGGACATCAGATGTTTTAAAATTTTTAATTACTATACTTAAAAGTGTTAATAAATTTATAAAAAGAATGGAGTATCATCATTATATATTTAGATCACGTCTTGTAGAGGACATAAAAATTGAAATTTAGATAACATATATAGTAATGAGAGGTAAGAAAAAAGATAAAGGCTACAGAAGATCAGACAAGAAGTTTTCTGATAAATAAATTACTCACTTCATACTTATGTTTACTTTAAATAACACAGAAAAAGAATTATTTATCCTCTCCCCAAAAAAGCTGCAAAATAAATCAAATCAAATTACTCACCTAGCAAGTTGTGCTAGTTCTTTTTGGGTCAATGGGCTTCCTTGTTTACATAACAGATTTTTAAGTAAAAGTAGTCTTGTCTGGAAAAAAAATATTAAAGAATTATCAGTCTGGTCTAATTTGATAACAGAATTAATAGTTCTTCATATGCTAAGAATTAACTTAATAGCCGGGAATCAAGATCAAGTTCTCACTGTTACTTTGAAGCCTCATTCATGTCTGTTAAATGGAATTAAAATTACCTATTCATTGAGAGTTCCTGAGAAAATTAGAGAAAATAATCCAAACAAAGCACTAAGGAAGTAGCTGCTATTACTATCAAGGATGCTATGGGTCTGAGCTACACAACAACAATTAAAAAAAAAAGTTTTCTGGAGGTATGAATTCATATAGCATGAATTTCACTCATTGTAAGTATATAATTCATTGACCTTTAATAAATTTAAAGAGTTGTACAACCATCACTATAATCCAGTTTTAGATTATTTTTCTTACTCCAAAAAGTTCACTCATGCCTGGTTGCAGTTAATCCCCACTCCCAACTCCCACCCAGGCAAACCACTGATCTGCTTTATGTTTCTAGAAATTTGCCTTTTCTGGACAGTTCATATAAATGAAATGATATGATATATAACATATCTGGCTTCTTTCACTTACCATAATGTTTCAGAGTTTCATTCATAGAACTTAATGTATGAATTGAGTATATAGCATGTACAGCTCATTCCTTTTATTGCTAAACAGTACCCACTAAGTGGATATACCATATTTATTTGTTTGCCAACTCATGAACATTTTAGATTCTTTGCAGGCTTCAGATATTATTAATATTATTGTTATAAAAATTCTTACATGTTTTTGCGTGGACATATGTTTTTGTTTCTCTTGGGCAAATTCTTAGGAATGGAATTGCTGGTTCTGATGCTAAGTTCATCTTTTAAGAAATCACCAAACCAGGCATGGTGGCTCACACTTATAATCCCAGCATTTTGGGAGGCCAAGGTGGGAGGACTGCCTGAGCCCAGGAGTTTTTTTTTTTTTTTTTTTTTTTGAGACAGAGTCTCGCTTTGTTGTCCAGGCTAGAGTGAGTGCCGTGGCGTCAGCCTAGCTCACAGCAACCTCAAACTCCTGGGCTCAAGCAATCCTACTGCCTCAGCCTCCCGAGTAGCTGGGACTACAGGCATGTGCCACGATGCCCGGCTAATTTTTTATATATATATATCAGTTGGCCAATTAATTTCTTTGTATTTATAGTAGAGACGGGGTCTCACTCTTGCTCAGGCTGGTTTCGAACTCCTGACCTCGAGCAATCCGCCCGCCTCGGCCTCCCAGAGAGCTAGGATTACAGACGTGAGCCACCGCGCCCGGCCTAAGCCCAGGAGTTTGATACTGGTCTCAGCAACATAGCAAGAGCCTGTCTCTACAAAAAATTTAAAATTAGTGTGGGGCACATGCCTCTAGTCCTAGCTACTGGGGAGGCTAAAGTGAGCTTTTGAGCCCAGAGTTTGAGGATGTAGTGCGTTTGATCATGCCACTGCACTCCAGTCTGGGTGACAGAGCAAGACTCTATCTAAAAAAAAACAAAAACAAAGAAATGAAAAGAAACCACCAAACTGTTTTCCAAAGTGGCTGTACCATGAATTGGAAGACTTGATATTATTAAAGTAGTAGTTTTTGTTTTGGTTTTTAAAAAGAACTCCAATAAAGATACATACCTCCTCATTTGGTAAAGACACATATACCCGTTTGATGAAACGCCTAAACAAAAAAAAAAGATTCCAGAAATTTTAGAAATATAATTTTGAATTTAAAGGTAACTCAGCTTAAATAACAAATGATAGAAAATGGGCTTTAAGTATAATATTCAAAGCATTTGAACACATTATAATAGTTACCAATGTAAAAAGATAATTTGTTACTCTTTTAAAACTCTTTAATGTTTTAAAATCCTTAATTCCATACTGTCAGAATTAAATTAACCAATTATGTATGTAGATATTTTTACCAGCAATAATACTTTAAAACATAAAATATCTGATAAAATAAATGGAATAAAGAGATCTTTGCTGTTTTCTTGAATCTGAAAACACCTAAAATCAAGAAGGATAACAAACAGAAATGTAAACATCATCAACAAATTAGGTAACATTTATGGAACTAAAATATATGAAGGGCTGCCTAGGGCAGTGAAAATTACACTGACAAAGGAAGATACACACAGGATCTGCCATTGCAAATCATGGACATGGCTGTCAGAACACAGAGTTTTCAAAAAAAAAAAAAAAAAAAATAGGCCAGGCGCAGCAGCTCATGCCGGTAGTTCTAGCGCTCTGGGAGGCCAAGATGTGAGGACTGCTTAAGGTCAGAAGTTCTAGACCAGTCTGAGCAAGAGTGAGACCCTGTCGCTACAAAAAATAGAAAAATTAGCCAGGAATGGTAGTGCACACTCACAGTCCTAGCTACTCTGGAGGCTAGGTCAGGATGATCACTTGAGCCAGGGGGTTTGAGCTATGACGATGCCACTGTACTCTAGCCCGAACAGAATGAGACCCTGTCACTTACCAACAAAAAGCAGACACAACAAAGTCAATAAAAGGTTAACTCTAAAATTAACAAATAGTTTTCATTATTTTGAAATTATTAAGTACATAGCAGTTAGATTTTCACAAAACTAATGTACATTTTAAAGTATATCTAACTGAAGTTTCTTGAATGCAGCCTTGATTATGGCAAATTAATGTGGCCTTCAAACATGAAAAGGTTCCCCACCCCTGGGCTAGAGGACAGTAGAGAGAGGAAAATAACAAATTTACTCTTCAAATTGGGAGTAAAGGAAATAAATAAGATGAACATACGAGTAAATATATCTGTAACAAATGCATGTGTTTTCACATAAATATCCCTACCTGAGAACAGCCTCATCAAGTTCTTGTGGCCTATTAGTTGCCCCCATTACAAGTACTCTGTCATCTCCAGCAGATTGTACCTACAAGCCAAAAACACATTTTTCAGTACTTTTAGATAAATAACAAAGAAAAATAAAGATATTTGTGTTTCTAATTGTGGTCATTTAATAGGAAGATATATATACTAAAATCCAGCTACATTAAAAATGTCATAATCAACACTTACACCATCAAACTCTATTAGAAATTCAGTTTTTAGACGTCTGCTAGCATCATGCTCCCCTTCTCTTCTTTCACACAAAAGGCTATCAACTTCATCTAGAGGAAAAGGATAAGACTTCAATATAAAGGCCAACCTATGCAAGTCATTTGAGATTACCCTAGTTTACTACTTAAGTTACTAATACAGAACTTACTACTTAAGTTACTAAGACTAATTAGATAACCTTTAATCTCACCGTTATTTAAAATTTTTTCCTCCTGAATAATGTTTCCTACCATGCCTTTCATCTTTGGAGAGGGGAATTTCACAAATATTCAACTTAGTTGGAACACATGTTCTTACCTATAAAAATTATAGAAGGTTGAAGTTCTCGAGCCACAGCAAAAAGAGCTCTCACCAATTTCTCTCCTTCTCCCACCTAAAGCAAGGCATTATATAGTGTTATACATATAAAATGCAACATTAACATTATTCCAGCTTTTTTAATTTCATGGCTTAGGCTGGGTATGATGACTCATGTCTATAATCCTAGTACTCTGGGAGGCCGAGGCAGGAGGGTCACTTGAGGTCAAGAGTTTGAGACCAGCATGAGCAAGAGTGAGATCCCGTCTCTACTAAAAATAGAAAAAATTAGCCAGATATGGTGGTGTGCCCCTGTAGTGACAACTGCTTGGAGGGCTGAGGCAGAAAGTTCACTTGAACTCAGGAGTTTGAGGTTGCTGTAAGCTAGGTTGATGCCCCAGCACTCTAGCCTGGGCAACAGAGCAAGACAGTCTCAAAATAAATAAATAAAATTTCATGTTTTAAAGTCTATAACCTCCATGGAGCCCAGGAGTTTGAGGCTGCAATGAGCTATGATGATGCCATGCACTGTAGCCTGGGTGACAGAGTGAGACTCTGTGGATTAATCAATCAATAAAGTCTATAACCTAGGAATTTAATTTCCCTACTTTCCAACAACTGCAATTTGGTTTGAGGAAGGTGGGGAGTGTTACTAAAGTGTCCCTTATAATGTTGCAAAAAGATTATAATTTCATACAGCCTGATAAGTACTTTAAACAATGAAATATATATGTTTAACTTTACATTGCATTCCTAAGACTTGAGAATGGAATAGCTTTCAGTCAGGGGTATAACTAGTGAGAAGAGGTAAGACTAGGGCAGAGAAAGAGATGCCACATGTATTCCTTAAACCCTGGATTACAGGGTATATTTATAGAAGCAGATAAGTTGTTTAGGAATGTGCTCTCCTAAACAAAACTGGCTGTATTAAGAACACCTTGAAAAGTCATTCTCACAATACCAATATCAGTAAATATTAAAATGTTTCTAGGTAGTCCAGGAGGTATAAGAATACCCTTTGAGACATTTCCTAGTATTGAAACCATACTACAGCTGTCCTACCCACTGAAATATCTAATGAAGTATCCAAGGAGGTCTGTGATAATCTACTGTAAAAACTGTTCTGTCCACTAGGTGATATTTATTCTTTTTATTGAAAATTTCACTTAAAAACAAATAAATAAAAGGAATAGCTCCAGATCTAGAATCATCAAAACAAATATTCTTAGAGCTGAAGGAAATGTCAAACAATAACCTCTTATGACATTAACTTTTTTTTTTTGAGACAGAGTCTCACTTTGTTGCCCCAGATAGAGTGCAGCAGTGTCACCGAAGCTCAATGCAACCTCAAACTCTTGGACTCAAGTGATCCTCCTGCCTTAGCCTCCCAAGTAGCTGGGACTACAGGCCTGCAACATGATGCCTTACTAATGTTTTTTTTTTTTTCTATTTTTAGTAGAGATGGGGTCTCCCTCTTGCTCAGGCTGCTTTCGACATCCCAAGCTCAAGCAATCCTCCCGCCTCGGCCTCCCAGAGTACTAGGATCACAGGCGTGAGCCACTGCACCCAACCAACATGTACATTTTATACTGAAGTAGGCCTAAAGTGATACTTTTCTAAGGCCAGCTTAATATAAAAGTTAGGTTGAAATCCATATTTCCTAACTTTCAAGAGAGTGCTTTTTGTTATATTATGTGCATAATTTGGTAATCCTACTTTAATAACTTTACCTGTAAAGTTTCACATAGGAAGCAAAATGTGATCAGGAAAAGAGTTACCATTTTATAGTTACTTTTAACTACTTTACAAATTGAGACTATTTTAAGCATTAAGGCTTATTAAAATATTATTTAAAGAAACTTTTAAAAGATTTGACTTACCACAGAAAAGATAGTAGAAGAGAAATATATCATCAGCTTCTCTGTTATTACCAGTTCTGTTTTTTTGGTTTTTTGGGGGTTTTTTTGAGACAAGAGTTTTGCTCTGTTGCCTGGGCTGGAGTGCTGTGGTGTTAGCCTAGCTCACAGCAGCCTCAACTCCTGGGCTCAAGTGATCCTCCTGCCTCAGCCTCCCAAGTAGCTAGGACTATAGGCATGTACCAACATGCCCAGCTAATATTTTCTATTTTAGTTGCCCAGCTAATTTCTTTCTATTTTTAGTAGAGACAGAGTCTTGCTCTTGCTGAGGCTGGTCTAGAACTTCTGACCTCAAGCAATCCTCCTGCCTCAGCCTCCCTGAGTGCTAGGATTATAGGTGTGAGCCACTACCCCTGGCCCACCAGTTCTTTTTTTGATATTTTTAACTGTTAGACACAGACAACCTGAATATTAGCAATTTTTTAATCTAGTAGCATATGGATGCACTGAAGACCAAACTATAAAAATTTTGAAAGAATTTTTTGAAACAAAAACTGTGAAGGAATACTTTGTAAACTGCAATGGATGAGAATATTGTGTTTTTTAAAAAATTAATATAACATAAGCATGTTAATTAGCAGTTCTAAAATATAAGAAAACTATTTATATAAAACAATAAAACTACAACTACATGTGAAAATATAGATACATCTCACAAATATAATGCTACTGAAAGAAGCCCAACACACACAAAATCTTGTATGATTACATTTATATAAAGTTCAAAGATAGGTTACTACTACTACTATATTAGTAGTCAAGTGGCTTTTGGGGAGAGGAGTATATAAAAATGGGGGGAGCCTAAAGGGATTTCAGTGGTTCAGGGAACAATCTATTTCTTGACCTGGGTGGTGATTATGAAAGTGTATTCACTTTGTGATAATACATTGAGCTGTATACTAATGACATAAACACTTTCCTACATGTAAATTCTTCAATAAACAGGCCAGGCGCAGTGGCTCATGCCTGTAATCCTAGCACTCCGGGAGGCCGAGGCGGGCGGATTGCTCGAGGTCAGGAGTTCAAAACCAGCCTGAGCAAGAGCGAGACCCCATCTCTACTATAAATAGAAAGAAATTAATTAGCCAACTGATATATATATAGAAAAGATTAGCCGGGCATGGTGGCGCATGCCTGTAGTCCTAGTCCTAGCTACTTGGGAGGCTGAGGCAGCAGGATTGCTTGAGCCCAGGAGTTTGAGGTTGCTGTGAGCTAGGCTGACACCATGGCACTCACTCTCTAGCCTGGGCAACAAAGCGAGACTCTGTCTCAACAACAACAACAAAATTCTTCAGTAAACAAGGTAAACAATAATAAAACATGGTAGGTTATATTTCTAACTGATTTTTTGTGGGAAAAAATCTAGATATTTTAATAACACAAATGTTGCCAACACCTATGATGCAGTTCCTGAAAAAAGGTTTCTCAGGATATATCATAAGAAACAGAGCATCTAAATAATACTAAACAATACTTTCTTTTTAGATCTTCAAAAGCAAGATGACATTTGAAGTAAAATATTCAGTTCTTAGCAAAATATATGCATACTAGGCCGGGCGCTGTGGCTCACGCCTGTAATCCTAGCTCTTGGGAGGCCGAGGCGGGCGGATTGCTCAAGGTCAGGAGTTCAAAACCAGCCTGAGCAAGAGCGAGACCCCGTCTCTACTATAAATAGAAAGAATTAATTGGCCAACTGATATATATATAAAAAAAAAATTAGCCAGGCATGGTGGCGCATGCCTGTAGTCCCAGCTACTCGGGAGGCTGAGGCAGAAGGATCACTCGAGCCCAGGAGTTTGAAGTTGCTGTGAGCTAGGCTGACGCCACGGCACTCACTCTAGCCTGGACAACAAAGCGAGACTCTGTCTCAAAAAAAAAAAAAAAAAAAAAAATATATATATATATATATGCATACTGACAAACTGGCATGAGATCGTAGGAAGATAACTAAGATAATCCAGAAAGGGGAAAAAAGCAGATATAACATTAAATTCCTAGATATTTGAAAGGCTGTCTCATAAAAGAAAACTAGAGTTTTATTGTATACATAATACTTTTAAAAAGTGTATAAAAATTAGAAGAAGATGATTTCAGTTAAACATAAAAAAAAGTTTTATTAACTAGAGCTATCCAAATGATGAACTAAATACTCCAATTTTCCTTAAAGTAAACTTGCTGCAAGATATATGGCTGGGCACAGTGGCTCATGCCTGGAACCTTGGCACTGTGGGAGGCCGAGGCAGGAGGATTGCTTGAGACCATGAGTTTGAGACTAGCCTGAGCAAGAGCAAGACCCTGTCTCTATCAAATATAGAAAAATTAGCCGATTGTAGTGGCACATGCCTGTAGTCCCAGCTACTCAGGAGGCTGAGGCAGGAGGATCACTTGAGCCTAGGAGTTTGCCGCTGCAGTGAGCTACGATGATGCCACTGCACTCTAGCCTGGACAACAGAATGAGACTCTGTCTCAAAAAAAAGAAAGAAAAGAAAAGAAATTTAAGAGGCAGTATGAGATATGGGGTTAAGATCACGGACTTTAAGGAATCTGTTTAAGCACTGTTTAAGGAATCGTGAAGACGAAAGGAAATAGTCTTGAAACAAATAAGGATAAAAGAGAATAGCTGCTGTAAAATTTTTAATGAAAGGACTCAGGCTGTCAAGCCACATCACTGGACCTCAAAGTCTGATTTCCCACTTCTTGGTTATGAGATCTTGAGCATATCACTGAACTTCTCTGCAGTTCCCTAATCAATAAGATAGAGGTAAAAGAACAGTATTTCTACTTAAAATGATTATTTATTCCACAAACATTTATTCAACACCTACTTGTTGCCAGATACTGTTCAAGACACTGTGAATAAGAACACACGGCAACAGTCTCTGCCCTCATGGAGACTGTCTTCTAGTGAAGATGACAGTGATACCGGATACAACAGAAATGATCACACCAATGAATATGAATTATAATTTCAGTGAGTAAGACACATGAGAGGTAAAGAGTACATAAGGATAATAAGGGGGATTCATCTGAAGGGACAGGGAAGATTATAATAGTTCTTTTCTTTTTTTTTTTTTTTGAGACAGAGTCTCACTCTATTGCCTGGGCTAGAGTACCATGGTGTCAGCCTAGCTCATAGCAACCTCAAACTCCTGGGCTCAAGCGATCCTTCTGTCTCAGCCTCCCAAGTAGCTGGACTACAGGCATGCGCCACTATGCCTGGCTAATTTTTTTCTACACAGTTTTAGTTGGCCAATTAATTTCTTTCTATTTTTAGTAGAGATGGGGTCTCACTCTTGCTCAGGCTGGTCTCCAACTCCTGAGCTCAAACGATCCTCCCGCCTCGGCCTCCCAGAGTGCTAGGATTACAGGCATGACTACTGCACCCAGCCAGATTATAACATTTGAATTGATATATGAAGGATGAATCCAAGTTAACCAGAATACAGTGGTCCTGATAAAAGAAACTCTATGAAGAAAAGTCCTATGGTAAGAAAAAGCATAATAATAGTTGAAGAACTGTCCAGGAGACAGGGAGTCTTAACAAATGTACTTCAAAAACTATGGATCTAATGGCAAGGCTATTTCTCATAGGGATGGAGGCCATTTTAGCCTAATGACACAAAATACTCAAACTATGGTCAATGTGTCAAATTTGCCATTCTTTAATTTATTGACCATTATATATACCTTATAAATAACCTTATATAAATAATTTTACCTTATATAAATAACCTTATATAATCTTATATAAATAATTTATATATACCTTATAAATAACCTTCCCAAACACATCTAATTATAGTGAAAAAATATGCTGTTCACGCCAGCTAGACAATTCTGATATCACGTCTGTTCCTAAGATATAGATCTGCTCTTGGTGTGCTAATTAAATCAAGTTTCTTTCTTTCTCTGCAAATCTGCAGGCTGTGATAGATTGAGGATAGTAAAGTTACCCTCTGAGCCACTCATGGAAATAGACTACCTAGATAGCACATCAGAACCACTTCTGGATTTCAACGCATGGAATGCCAAAACTTCAAACTTTTACCAGTAAAATATTCTTTCGCCAAAGATTCACATTTCAGTTTAAATATGTTTAGCAAAACACTTTCAACCATGACAGTTTTATAAGGGGCAAACAGAGAATAGGACATTACTGGGCAACCAAGTGAAATGGAGAGACAGGGAGAAAAAGACAAAGCAGAATAAGGTTTGACAGGAACTACTTCACAGTTTTGCAATTCAGTTATATTCACACACTGGTTCCACACACTATACAAATGACTCTCTTTCAGCTCTGTAGTCATGCTTGCCCTACCCCAAAACTAGACTGAGCACTTCTTTGAATACCACTATAGGGTCACTGGAAAGTGAATGAAAATAACGAACTAAATTATAGTATAAGATAACCAAAATCATCAAGAAAATCTTGTCATATTTTAGTTCATCTACAAGCCAAGGAATGACAAAGATTGCTAGGAAATGACCAGAAGCTAGGAGAGATGCATGTAACATATTCTCCCCCAGCCCTCAGAAGGAACTAACCTTGACAATACTTTGATCTTAGACATCTAGCCTCTAAAACTGGGAGACAATAAATTCCTGATGTTTAAGCCAGCCAGTTTACAATATTTTGTTACACAATGCTAGTAAACCAATATAGTATTTGAAAATACAATTCTAATTTTAAAAGAGTCTAATGAATGTACATAATTTTCTACTTTGACAACTGATATTAATCACATATAATAGATACAAAACTCACAACAAAGTATTTTTGTGAAATATTCCCATTTATACTTAACATAGTAACATTTAAACAATAACTTAAAACATGACAATATAGGAAAAAAGAGCACTCACATATTTTGAAGTTAAGCTTGCAGCACTTATATTAAAGAAGGTTGCATTAGATTCTGCAGCTACTGCTTTAGCCTTTAAAAATCACAAGAGCAAATATTAAATTAGCTCAATATCTTGCTTTAAAATAACCACATTTGACTGATTTAAGTACAGGAAAAGATTATCTTAAAATGCAAAGTATAACCCAATTTCCAAAATATGGCATCAATGTGTTTCCTTTTCAGCAATGAGGAAAGGTTCTAAGAAGAGCTCTCCTTCTTTCTACTCTTTTCCTTTCTGAGAGAGTATGAATAGAGAGAGGTTTAAAAAAAGGGCTATTCTCTTCTCTGCTTAGGTATAGAAAGGTAACTGCTTAGAGAATGATAAACAGCTAAGGAAAAAGTTGCTCATTCCTTTTCATTTTTTCACTGTAGAAGAGCTATGCAGAGGAAAGAGGTATCCAGATACTGGTAAAATCTTTTGGCAAAAGTAAACTAAAAAAAAAATCTATAACATACTGATTATTTAAATAAAGCCATTAAGATAGTAAAAAAACTAACAGAAAGATATTCAATACAGTAAGGTAAGCTCTTCTATGGTAAAAATTTTATTATTTAATTTAGAAAAATAATGACAATTACACTGTTAAATTTAACCAACCAAAAACATACTTCTAAGGGTATATCTGGTTTTTCATCTATTTCTGCTTTGAGAACTAGTTTAAAAACTTAAGAGAAGTATATCCTAGCAAAAAGCAAAAATAGACTCAGGGACAATGCAAAGTTTTCTTTTTCCCTATTATCCCTAATATCTCAACAGAATGCTCAAATTTGAAAGAATGCTTACCAGCATTGTCTTCCCATTTCCAGGTGGACCAAAGAGTAACAATCCTCTTGCAGGAGCTCTAAGCCCTGTGAACAACTTAAAAACATATACTTCAGATCACAATCATGATTCTGGAGATAATTTTATCCAGACATGTTAAGTATTATTTGTCATCTAAAAACATCCTTTTTCAGTAGCATCCTTCCAAAGAGAGCTGCCCAAGATTTTAAAGGGAACGCATGATCAGTAATTTAGTATAATAATTAAAAACATAAGAAAACAAAATAAAATAAAACCAACTCCTCAGTGATAAAATGAAAGCAGACTGGGTAAATAAGACAAACTGAACATAGGCAGGTTTCTCTGCTTAGAAATCCCACCAAAATTATACTAAATTAATAAAATAAATCTTACAAACAAAAATAGGAAAGGAGACAACAGAGGACACAATAAATTTCTGTAAGATGGAGAACCGATAAAATATGGTAAATTACTTAGCAGAGCTGAATGAGCTAAAAACATTATGTGCCTGTTTATGAAGGGGATATCTAGATATAAGAAGCAAGCTGAGGCCGGGCGCGGTGGCTCACGCCTGTAATCCTAGCTCTCTGGGAGGCCGAGGCGGGCGGATTGCTCGAGGTCAGGAGTTCGAAACCAGCCTGAGCAAGAGCGAGACCCCGTCTCTACTATAAATAGAAAAAATTGGCCAACTAATATATATAGAAAAAATTAGCCGGGCATGGTGGCGAATGCCTGTAGTCCCAGCTACTCGGGAGGCTGAGGCAGGAGGATTGCTTGAGCCCCGGAGTTTGAGGTTGCTGTGAGCTAGGCTGACGCCACGGCACTCACTCTAGCCTGGGCAACAAAGTGAGACTCTGTCTCAAAAAAAAAAAAAAAAGAAGCAAGCTGATGTGAACAAAAAAATCCCAAGAAGGCTCAGGAATTAGAGGCACCAGGTACCATAGAAAGCAGTAGAGGCTGGGTATGGAGGCTCACAACTGTAAGCCCACCACTTTGGGAGGCTGAGGCAGGAGGATCACTTGAGGCCAGAAGTTCAAGACCAGCCTGGGCAACATAGAAAGATTCCATGTTTACAAAAAATTTTAAAAATTAGCCAGGCGTGGTGGCACGTCTATAGTCACAGCCACTCAGGAGGCTGAGGCAGAGGATTGCTTGAATTCAGGAGTTTGAGGTTTCAGTGAGTTGTGATCATGCCATTGCCCTCCTGCCTGAGCAACCACAGAGTGGGACCCTGTTTCTAAAAAAAAAAAGTTTAAATAAAATGAAAAAGAGAAAGCAATAGAAAGATAGCCAAAGACAAAGGAACTGATTGAAAGCTGGTATAGGAACAACTCAACCCATGTTCCTGCTCCCCACAAAGAACAGACAGGAAAGTAACCAACCACAATCACAGGAGGCTGGAGTTACCTTCTCTAGAGAAATTAAACCAGGTTCTCCAGCCTCAGGGACACCAGGCATGACAAGAGTCAAGGATAAAGCACCAGACTGAATATACTTCACTTAATAGCAAAGGTGCATGTACTTATAATTTGAATCATATGAAATGGCAAACATTCAACTTTTTTAAAAAATATTTTTTGAGCAATTTTAGATTTATAGAAAATTCAGAAAAAGTACTGAGAGTTCCCATATCACCCTTCATTCCTCCCCAACTTTCCCTATTATTAACATCTTATATTGGTGTCATACATTTGTACAAATACTGATACATTACTATTACCTAAAGTCCACAGCTTACATTAGGGTTCATTCTTTATGTTTTGTATTCTATGGATTTCGACAAATGCGTAATGACACGTATCCACCATTAGTACCATAGAATGGTTTCACTGCTCTAAAACTACCCTGTGGTCCATCTATTCATCCTTTCCTATTTCCTGCCACACCCCTGGCAACCACTGATCTTTCACCATCTCCACAGTCTTGCCTTTTCCAGAATGTCATATAGTTGAAATCATATAGTATATGTAGCCTTTCCAGGTTGGCTTCTTTCATTTAGCAACATGCATTAAGATTCCTCCATATCCTTTTGTGGCTTAATAGCTCATTTATTTTTATTCCTGAATAATACCCCATTATGTGGATGTACCACATTCTTGTTTATCCATTAACCTACTGATGGACATCTTGGTTGCTTCCAAGTTTTGGCAATTATGAATAAAACTGCTAGAAACATTCATGTGCCGGTTTTTGTGTAGACATATTGTTTCAATTTCTTTGGGTAAATACCAAAGAGTAGGATTCTTGGATCACATGGTAAGAGTACCTTTAGTTTTGTAAGAACCATCAAACTGTCTTCCAAAGTGGTTTCTGCCATTTTGCATTCCCATCAGCAATAAATGAAAGTTCCTGTTGCTTTACATCCTTGCCAGAATTTAGTGCTATCAATGTTTTGGATTTTAGCATTCTAACAGGGTGTGATGGTACCTTATGGGTTTTTTGTTTTATTTATTTATTTGAGACAGGGTCTCACTCTGTTTCTGGAGCTAGAGTGCAGTGGCATCTTCATAGCTCATTGCAACTTCAAACTCCTAGGCTCAAGTGATCCTCTCACCTCAGCCTCCCAAGTAGTCTCCCAAGTAGGTGCACATTACCACACCCCGCTAATTTTTAAAACTTTTTGTAGAGACAGGTTCTCATTGTGTTTCTCAGACTGGTCTTGAACTCCTGGCTTTAAGCAACTCTTCCACCTTGGCCTCCCAAAGTGCTAGGATTACAGGAGTGAGCTACCATGCCCAGCCATATTTTTTGTTTTTGTTTTTTGAGATAGGATCTTGCTTTGCTGCCCAAACTAGAGTGCAGTGGTGTTACCATAGCTCACTGCAACCACAAACTCCTGAGCTCAAGCAATCCTCCTGTCTCAGCCTCCCAAGTAGCTGGGACAATAGACGAGTACCAAGATGCCAGGCTAATTTTTCTATTTTTTTGTAGAGACGGAATCTCACTTTCACTCAGGCTGGTCTTGAACTCTGGGCCTCAAGCAATCCTTCTGCCTGAGCCTCCTAAAGGCTAGGATTATAGGTATGAGCTACCACACCTGGCCTTCCTGTTGTTTTAATGAGCAATTTATCTAAAGACATATGATGTTGAGCATATTTTCCTATTCTTGTTTTCCATTTGCATATCATCTTTGGTGAGGTCTCCGCTCAGATCTTTTGCTCATTTTTTTTTTTTTTTTTTTTGAGACAGAGTCTCGCTTTGTTGAGCCACCGCGCCCAGCCTTCTTTTGCTCATTTGTTAAATGGGTTGTTTATTTCCTTGTTGTTGAGTTTCAAAAGTTCTTTTTATATTTTGGATACCAGTTCTTCATTACCTAATGTGTTTTGCAAAGATTCCCTCCCAGACTGTGGTTTATCTTTTCATTCTTTTAACAATGTCTTTAATGGAGCAGAAGTTTTTAATTTTTTTTTTTGAGACAGAGTCTCGCTTTGTTGTCCAGGCTAGAGTGAGTGCCGTGGTGTCAGCCTAGCTCACAGCAACCTCAAACTCCTGGGCTCGAGCGATCCTTCTGCCTCAGCCTCCCGAGTAGCTGGGACTATAGGCATGTGCCACCATGCCCGGCTAATTTTTTTATATATATATTAGTTGGCCAATTAATTTCTTTCTATTTATAGTAGAGATGGGGTCTCGCTCTTGCTCAGGCTGGTTTTGAACTCCTGACCTTGAGCAATCCGCCCGCCTCGGCCTCCCAGAGAGCTAGGATTACAGGCGTGAGCCACCGTGCCTGGCTCAAGTTTTTAATTTTGACAAGGTTCAACTTATCAGTGTTTTCTTTCAAGGAAAGAAAGTGTCTAAGAAGTCACTGCTGAACCAAAAGTCACCTAGATTTTCCCTATCTTACTTTCTAGAAATTTTGGGTTGCATTTTAAAGAATCTGAATAACCCCAGGGAAAAAAAGGTTAATAGCTACAGTCATTTGGAGAAACCAAATAAATAACCTGCTTGCTGCTTGATCATCTTGTGATGACCCCACTATCACTGAGCTCTACTTACCTACAGTACAGAGTTGTTAATCAATTTTTTTATTCTTCCACTATAGTATGAATGGACAACCAGGATAACAAGACACTTGAGAGAAGCTTCCAACATGAAACAGTTTAAAGGAAAACGAATAAAGAGGAATCTAGATGAAAGAGAGACAATATAGTAAACAAAACTTCATAAAAACTCGAATATTCTTAGAGACAAAGAAGAACCTACATCTATGAAACAAGAATAGGAAGCTATAAAAAAGGATCAATCAGACAAGAAAGAGCTCTTGGGGCCAGGCGCAGTGGCTCATGCCTATAATCCTAGCACTCCAGGAGGCTGAGGCAGGAGGATTGCTTGAGGTCAGGAGTTTGAGACCAGCCTAAGCAAGAGCGAGACACTGTATCTACTAACAATAGAAAATGTAGCCGGGTGTGGTGGCATGTGCCTGTGGTCCCAGCTACTTGGGATGCTGAGGCAGGAGGATCACTTGAGCCCAGGAGTTCAAGGTAGCTATGATCTAGGCTGATGCCGCTGCACTTGAACCTGGGTGGCGACAGAGTGAGACTCTGTCTCAAGAGAAAGGAAAAAGGAAAAGGAAAGGAAAGGAAAGGAGAAAGAAAGGAGAAAGGAGAGGAGGAGGAGAGGAGGGGAGGAGAAAGGGAAGGAGGAGGGAGGGGAGGGGAAGGAAGGGGGAGGAAGGAGGGAAGGAGGGAGAAGGGAGAGGAGGAACGAGCTCTTTAAGCTAAATTAATGAATTAATGGTATCTGAAATTTCAGGAAAATAGAAAATAAAATTTGTGCTTCACTTGACTAGGAAAAAAACAATTAAAAAAAGAAAAGAAATTGGATGAAATCTCCCAGCAAGTACAATAAAGGACAAAGAAATAAAGACTTAAGAGGAAAGATAGGAAAACCAGAAAATCAATTCAAGAGGTTTCAAGGGTTCAAGAACCATCCACAAAAAGGTTTAAGAAAGATGGATCTGGCCAGGCTCGGTAGCTCACACCTGTAATCCTAGCACTCTGGGAGGCCCACGTGAGAGGATCACTTGAGCTTAGGAGTTCAACACCAGCCTAAGCAAGAGCAAGACCCCGTCTCTATTTAAAAAAAGAGAGAGAGAGAAAGATGGATCAAAGAAAATCGATGAAAAAAAATTAGACCCCTAGAACTTTCCTCAGAATTGAAGGATGAGTATCTAAAAAACTGCACAATGAGGGGGAAAAAAAAGAAAAACAAAATGCATCAAGCAAATCATTGTAAAATATCAGAAGAACAGCATAAAGGGAAGATCCACAAAATTTTCAGAAATAAAAATAAGAAGTCCAATGTTAGATTCTGATTCCTGATCTTTTGTATCTAACACAAAGCAACACTAGAAGCTAGAAGATAAGGCCAATGCCTTCAAAATACTAAGGGAAAATAATTTCCAACCTAAACCTTGACATTCAATCAAATTATCAATAAGGGAAGACAGAAGAATAAAAATATTTTCAAATATACAAAATCACAAAAAAATTCCCTCACACAAACTCTTCCTCAGGAAGTTACTGGAAGATATATGCCATCAAAATCAGAAACAATGAAAGTAGAAAATACAGAATTCAAAAGAAAGTAGATCCAACATAGAAAGGCGGCGAAGGGAATTTTCTTGATAGTAGTGGAGAGAGATTATAGACAAACTGCTTTGAAATAGTAATAGACAGCACTACTGGTTTGAGGCTGGGCATGGTGGTTCATGCCTGTAATCCTAGCACTCTGGGAGGCCAAGGCAGGAGGACTGCTTGAGCCCAGGAGTTTGAGATTGCAGTGAGCCCTAGCTAGGAGTTTGAGGTTCCAGTGAGCTATGATGACACCACTGCATTCTAGCCCGGGCAACAGAGCAATACCTCGTCTCAAAAACAAACAAATAAACTCCCCCCAAAATCCCCATGGTCCTATATGATAGTAGGGAGATGAAGGAGAGTTTTTTTCAATATTCCTTCCAGATCTATGACTTAATGAATGAGCAAGAATTAAAGCACTTACTTTAAATAATTCTGAGAACAATTTATCTTTAGTATTATTTATTTCTTTAAAATCAGTTTTAGTGTTAGATAACTTAACAATAATTCCATGTTTCTACAATGAAATAAAAATTCTAGTATACTGAAGAATGCTTGCCATACCCAACTTCCTATCCAACCTAACAATGTCCATTGCAGTCTATGCAAGGTTCCTACTATGGGGAATTAGGAATAAAGCTGATTTTGTGCAGACTCAGGGCACTTTATGGGATAAGTCTTACCCATTCATAGGCTTACCATGATCTATTTTGTGGGTCTAGTGTGAAAAGCTGATCTAGGAAAATAATATTCCCTTTGTTGGGAATCTGAAGTAGAAGAATAAAACGTTCATTTGGCAGGTGTGGCAATATAAAGATAAGTGTGTGCCAGAATACAAACCCTAAGCCCTGGCTCTTCAACAGGTCCTGCTCTTCCATGGGTTTCATTTTACTAAGATTTCTGTCCCTCCTGAGGCCAGGTTATTCAACCTTATCTGAAGTAACTTGCAACTGGCATTTTTAAATTATTCTAGCTTCTTAATTGCACATGTCACTACCATGGAAATATGCCTAAATGCAAATTCACGTTGTTTAACCTTATTTTCTATTTTAGATGTGTTCTCTAAAGGCCTGGGTAAAAGCAAAAGTTGAATGACTTTCCTAGCATAGCCCAAATATTTCCTTAGTATTACCTTCATAATTTTAGATATATTTTCCTACCCTAAAAAGCATGGCTCTTGATAAATACTAAAACCTACACTTAAGAATTAGGTGGCAGGTACAGCACTGAAGAGGTAGTCTTTTCTCTCTTTCCTTTTCTTTATTTTTCATACAACACTGTTTCGACGACAGAGGCAGTTCTAATCTTAGAAATCTTATTTCATTTCCTAGGCCTACCACTTAACTAGAATCTTGAGCAAGTAAGTGTAGCTCTTAGGATTAGTTTCCTTATGAACAAATGGACTAGATAACTGCTGAGATCCTTTTCAGGTCTACAATTATACAAATCTTTCAACAAGCATTTTGTCAATATTCAGTCTGCTGCATTTACTACTCTTACCTAACTCCAGCAAAAACTTAGCACAACATATAAGCTATAATATGTTTCCCTAAGTGTGGCCAGAGGCAGCACATGACATAAATTTGGTTCATATAAGGACATATACTTTCTATTTTAATAATTCTCTAATTATTTTATTGGGTATTAGCAAAAATTCAACTAGCATATCAAACCAGTGATTTCATGTACTTAGAATGAGTAATAAGTAAAATAAAGAAAGTAGAGTTGAAAAATATTTCATAAATTGTAGTACAGCTGGTACTCAAAAGTGATAAAACACCATGAAGGTAGTATGAGAATGACTAAGACTATGGAAAAATAGAGCCACATAATCTTTGTATATTCATTTAGTAGTGCATCCATCACAATGTGCCACACAACCATATTTCCATTAGATGTTAAAATGAGTCCATAAGATTTGAATGTTCGAGGAGAAATAACTGTGACCTAGAAGTGGGTCCTCAGATTTATTTTTGCCATATTATTGAAACAGCACTAAATACGCAATCTGTGAATTGCAAAAATCCAAAACAGTGCTTAGTATGGAAAATCACATATTTATTATCAACTACAAGATTACCTATCTTCCTTAATGATATGTAACATATGGGATGGAAGGTTAGATCCCTACCCATCATTCATTGGCTCTCTACTTTGATATATTAATATCCTTGAGAATAATTCTTCTAAAAATTGTTCTTCAAATTTGAAGACATAAAGAATTATTTTCAGGCCAGGTGTGGTGGCTCACACCTATAATCCTGGCATTTTGGAAGGCTGAGGTGGGAGGATCGTTTGATCCCAGGAGTTCAAGATCATCCTGGTCAACATAGTGAGACCCCATCTCTACCAAAAAAAAAAAAAAAAAAAAAGAAAGAAAGAAAGAAAGAAAAGAAAGAAAAAAAAAAAGAATTATTTTATCTTAAGTTCTCTTTTCTCCAATATGATTTCTCTTATTTTAAATCTCTCTCTCACCTTGATATCAAAATTATGCTGTACTATCCACTTTTCCTAAAAATTTTTAAAATGGATTGGGAATTAGGAACTGCTATATTCATTCTCCTCTCTTATACTAATTGTCAACATCAACTGCTAATGTTTTGTCTGTTACCTTATGTGAATTAATTATTCTAGCACAGTCCAAACATTTTTTTACCATTACTATAGATTCAGTAATGGATGATGTTACAGGAAAATGATAATATAAAGTTCTTACCTCAGGCCTCAGAGAAGGAAGAATAACTATTTCTTGTAATGCTTGTTTTGCCAACTCTTGACCAGCTATATCATCAAATTTAACAGCTGTTCCACTACGGAACAAAACCTCAGTTAGTTCCCTATTAGAAATATGGTTCATTTGTTACAATATGAAGTTTAGGTTCTATAAAGTGTAGTCATTTTTATGTTAACTGTGAAACAATAGTTAAATCAATATAGCAATGATTTTCTGCATTTATCACTGAAAACTATCATAAAAATTTAAGTATGTAAATCAAAGTGTTTATTATCTATTTCACTCATGACACATTTTTAAAATGAATTTCAAAAATAAAAATTGTAAAATAAAACACTTTAAATGGCAAAACTTACTTATCCACAATTTCGTTCATTATAAGGTTAGCAAGGTTGGTGTCCACATTCCTAAAATTCTTCAAGTCTTTCTTCTTTCGAGGAGCAGTTGTAGGGGTAGAAGGTTTATTTGTTCTATTCGTTTTAGGAGTACCCTTAAAAAATACAAAATTTTAATGTAAAAATACAACCTCACATTTACACCTTTCACAAGTTAATAAACCTTAAAGTTCATAGAATTCAAGCTTTAAAAATAGGAAAAAGGATATAAAAATACCAAGGCAAAATTCTATTCACTATAGAACTACATTTGGCATGAAGTGGGTTATAGAGAATTTTTTTTTTATAAAAGAAAAAGGCCCTATGATAACAGCATCATATAATTTTGATTCTTGTCAGAATTATGACAGGTATGTTGATGTTATAAAACATTTATGTAGACTGAAATAATTTGAAAAGAAATATATAGCATTACATAAAACAGGCTGGGTAAGCAAACTTAATATAAAATGCCCAATTGCAGCCAAAAATCTATGTGCCCTTGTGGATTTTTAAAAAAACATATTTAACTTTGTTGAAACTTACCCATTCTCTGAAGTATTACAAAGTACTTGTAAGAAATTTAAACAAACATAACATGTTCAAAATTTTCTATCTGCAAAAGCATCGTAATTAAAGTTACTATCCCAGAATACCTTATGAGTGGTAGCTGCAGGACCAGGTCCCTGTCTCACTCCAGAAACCATGGATAAACCACTGCAACTAGGTGCCCTGTGGTGGCTTGAAAGACCTGTGGATCCAGTTTTCATAACTGTTTTTGAACGAGGCAGTGAATTACTAGTGTGTGTTAAGGGATCTTTTCTTTTTGGAACAGCTCCACTCTCTAACAAGAAAAAAATAAAACATAGTGATTAGAAAATTGTGACCAGAAATTTAAAAAAAAATAAGTACAAATACAAATTTGCAAAACCAAGGTAATAATATGTTTTTTTTTTGGGGGGGGGTAATATTTTCCATTTTAATTGGGAAATAATATGTTTTTAAATTCAGAAATATTTTAAAATAAGATTTCAATGAGAACATATAGCAGAGTATTCACAGGGATTGTCAGGGTGGACAGACTTAACAGGATATTAGGCTTTTCCTTTTCCTGATGTATATTCTAATTTTCTCATAAAAGAAATATTTGTAGAAAGAAGAAACAACTCCATCTTGGGAACGAGGAGGGGGATATGAAAAAGTTATCAATAATATCAAATAAAGTTTCCAAATGCCTAAGAAACAAAACATAGTAAAGACATTAGGAATAGGCTGTACAGAGGGAAAGAAAAAAAAAAGCACTCTACTACTTTAGTTCCAAACTTTCGTGACTAAAAAATACTATGAAAGTCCACAGCCTGTTCTCGCCAAAAGAATTTTTAAAATTAGTCAGTTTTAATGGAAAGAGTACAAAGATGTACTTTTTAATATGTCAAGCATTTTATATGCTCTATATATGTAAATAAGTATTTATAGAACACCTCTGATTAAGTCAAAAGATTTGTCCTGTGATACTCTTCCACATAAATTGTAAGCTTTTAAATGTTCAAATGTAATTGCTTCTAAATAACATTTTTATACACTACATAACATCAGTATTTATTAATAACAATGTCTACTGTGAAGACAAATGTTAAATCAGTCAGCAAATCAGAGTGGCCAAGAGAAAAGACAAAAGCCTCAGTTTTGCTTTTGTCATCAAATCCCTTAATATGATTTAAGGAACCAAAGACTCTAAACTGGTAGAGGGATCAGCTTAGTTATTTAGAGAACCAGTTTATCTTAGGTAAATTGTTAGAAAATCAGAAAGGATAAATAAAGTTCAAGTTTAAAAAATCTCCACATTCAGGATACCCTAAAATGAGGTTTTGACATTGAGCCTAAATTTTTAATTGACACAGTGGGACTAAAATCAGGATCTCTATGACAAGTAGAAGAATACAAAGCATCAAGAAAGAGGCAATTTTGACCATGTATCCAAATACTCAACACGAAGCTGACTTTGAGTCACTATGTTAATCAAATTTATGACAATCATGAAGATTATTACAGACCCACTTCACACTATCCTGGATTGTTCTTCTAGGACACAAATGATTAGGACTTCTAGAATTGTTTTAGTCACAATAGGGGCTAAAACTATCCCTATCTCCCCAAAGGTCTTGCAATTGCAGATTCATTTAATTGAACAAACAAATATATCAAATGGCTACTATGCTCAATGTATGAAGTGTAGAAAAAATAAAAACAAAAAATGGAAATATAGTTCCTATCTTCAAAAACAGAATCAATCTACAAAAGACAAGAGAGAATGAACACAATTTATAATAATTAGTGAATATATATCCAAATGATAAGACAACTTAAATTATGGGAACTTTAGAATAGAGTAAGGTTAAGAGGTTTTTCCAGTACATAAATGTAAAGCTCTGTATTATATCCTCAAGGAAGAATGGATACTGACCATTAGGGAAGAAGCAAGAAAGCATTCCAGAACAGGGGATGACATAAACAAAGATGTGAATAAAAAGCAAAATCCATCTTGGGTAATGCTAAATACCACTCATTTCAGAAGGAAAAAAGGAGAATGAAGAAGAATTTCTACCGACAGAAAATACATAATCCTAAGACTATAAATAGAAATTTCCAAAAGGAAAAATTATGAGAATGACAGGAGACTTTTCATCAGAAATAACAAATGTCAGTAAGCAAAGAGATTTGTTCAAAATGTTAAGGGGGAAAAAAGAGACCTGTCATATAAGAATGAGGGTATTTTCAGATAAAACATAGAAAAGAGTAAAAAGCTATAACATAAAGTTAGAGAACTGAAAAAAAATTTAAAAACCTGTGGGAAAGAAAAACTCAAAAAGGGAAATACCATCAGTGTAGACTACTTGGCTTCAGGTAGATAATATTTTACTAAGTCATAATAACGTTAACTATGATTTTTTGATATAACTAAAAATAACAAGATATATGTTTGGAAACAAAGGGTAATGGTGGCCTAGGAGAATTATGTTTTCTTCCATTTTAATAAAGAAGTCAATAAAAATTTGACTTTATCAGTTTGTAAACTGATAAACCAGATATAGCAATATAAGCATAATACTTGAAAATAGAATAGGAAGTATGAGGAAAAAATAACAAGTTAAATGTTGTAAGAGGAGCTTGTGAAGGTTGGGAAGTGAGAGAAAAGGGGTCAGAGGGGGAATATTATTTTTCTTTGTAAGCCTTTCAGTATTTTAAAATCAACTTTATTGAGTTATCATCTACAAATAATAAATCACACTCATTTAAAATATACAATTTGATGAGTTTGTAAAAATGTCTATAACTGTAAAACAGCTATAAAAATCAAGACACAAAATGTTTCCATCATAGCCCAAAGCTTTCCTCATGTCCATTTACACTCCTATCCCTGTCCCAGGCAACCATTAATCTGCCTTCTGACACCGTAAGAGTCATCTGATTTAGTAATTTCTACTGAAAGAGGTTCAAGGTCACTGAATCTTTCTTTTGACATCCATGATCTGCTGTTGACACTATCTTGTAAATTTTTAATCTCAGTAACTAATCAACTTTAGAATATCCATTATTTTTATTGTTTAGTTTATATCACCTGCTAAGATTTCCTGTTTGTTAACTGATGCCATACTTTCTTTTAATTCTTTCAACGTATTTACAGTAGCTGCTTTGAAGTCTTTGTTAAATTCAACATCTGGCTTCCCTCAGAGTTTTTACTGACTGCTTTTTTCCTTCAATAAGGGTCATATTTTCCTATTTCTTTGCATGTCTAGTAATTCTGAGCTGAAAATCAGACAATATAGACAACATATTGTAGCAATAAGCAGACTTTTGTATGATTATTTCCTAACTCATCCAAGTAAAACATCCCAGAATGTTCCAGAAATGAGTGAGACTAATAAACTAAGCCTAAGCAAGTCAGCTAATTCACTAGGACTCATTGAGTACCAAATATCAATGCCATGTAAATCAGCTGTCAAGTCAGTATGTCCTACCAACTAGAATTAACAGGACAGACAGATTATACCGGTTGAGTATCCCTTTTCCAAAATGCTTGGGACCAGAAATGTTTCAGATTTTTGGATTTTTTTTTTTTAATATTTACATTACACTTACTGGTTCAGCATCCCTAAACCAAATATTCAAAATCTGAAATGCTCCAAAGAGCATTTCCTTTGAGCATCATATCATTGCTAAAAAAATTTCAGGTATTGAAGCATTTCAGATTTCAACTTTCAGATTAGAAACAGGGGTACTCAACTTGTGCTAGGGATTTGAAATAAGACCAAGTTTATTTTTTTTTAATGGGTCCCAAGAAGAGAAAGTTGGTTTTTTTTGTTTTGTTTTTTTTTTTTTTTGCATGGCAGAAAAATACAATGGGATCTAGCATGTATAATGAAGTAGAAGAAAATCAAGATAACAAGGGAAAGGCATATCAGCCCTTCATGGCAAGAAATTTTTATTGTCTATCTTGGTAGGATTATTAGGATCTAAAACATGTATTTTAGAAACTTAACTATTTGTGATGCATTCATATATTTGTTTCCAGAATGTTCCTTATGAAAATGCCAGCCCTTCCTAGCCATGCTAAGACAAACAGGCATCTAAGACAAACAGGCTAAGACAAACTTACATCTATACTTGAAAAAGCATCTTAACTCAGACATAGGAAGGAATGGAAAAGGACTACAGCCACTGACTTTGTACCGTAAGACCAAGTCAAGGTGAGAACTCATTATCGGAGAGGTAAAGCCACAAGGGACAGAGTGGATGATGTTTCTTCTATCCATAGAAATCCATTTACTATATCTGTTCTTTATCAAAACTTTAAAAGTTTTGTACTATTCATGAATAAAAAAGGTAATTGTCTTCTAGCCTAATCTGAGGCTTTTCTGCTATAATTTGAACAAAGTAATTTTACTTTTTTTTGTTTTTGAGACAGAGTCTCACTCTGTTGCCCAGGCTAGAGTGCTGTGGCATCAGCCTAGCTCATAGCAACCTCAAACTCCTGGGCTCAAGCGATCCTCCTGCCTCAGCCTCCTGAGTAGCTGGGACTACAGGCATGCGCCACCATGCCCGGATAATTTTTTTCTATGTATATTTTTAGTTGGCCAATTAATTTCTTTCCATTTTTAGCAGAGACGGGGTCTCACTCTTGCTTAGGCTGGTCTCGAACTCCTGAACTCAAATAATCCACCTGTCTTGGCCTCCCAGAGTGCTAGGATTACAGGCGTGAGCCACCGTGCCTGGCCATATTTACTTTAATTTTAACCCTGGACATGAAATTGTTGCTGGAAAAGTCACCAATAAACTAGCTGAGACACCAGAGAACTCAGGAAATGAAGAGTCCCCTACCTAAACAAAACAAAACCACATTTAATCTTCTGTAGAAGCTGATACTCAAAAGTTTTAGAAGATAGATTTAACCCATAGTAAATAACAATATTTTTATGTTTCTCCTTACTATGTGAAGCTTCTAATTTTTTCTAACAGGTACTATAAGACATTCATATATAGTATATATGAAAATTGATATGCAATGAAAATTAACACAAAGAAATTTAACTTTGTCTTAAACACTTTATCTTGGAAAAAACTTAGTGTGGCTCTCCATAAAAAAACACAAAAGCTTAAAATACAACAGAAGCAAAAGAATATTTTAATCATTTCAGAAAATGTAGCAGCCGGGTGCGGTGGCTCACGCCTGTAATCCTAGCACTCTGTGAGGCCAAGGCGGAAGGATCGCTCAAGGTCAGGAGTTTAAAACCAGCCTGAGCAAGAGCGAGACCCCATCTTTATTAAAAATAGAAAGAAATTAATTGGACAACTAAAAATATATAGAAAAAAAATTAGCCAGGCATGATGGCTCATGCCTGTAGTCCCAGCTACTCAGGAGGCTAAGGCAGAAAGACTGCTTGAGCCCAGGAGTTTGAGGTTGCTGTGAGCTAGGCTGACGCCACAGCACTCTAGCCGGGGCAACACAGAATGAGACTGTTTCAAAAAAGAAAAAAGAAAATATAGGTACTGGATGCAGTGGCTTATACCTATAATCTCAGCATTTTGGGAGGCTGGGGCGGGAAGATCACTTGAGACCAGGAGTTTGACACCAGCATGGTCAACACAGCGAGATCCTGTCTCCACAAAAAAAAAATTTTTTTTGAGACAGAGACTCACTCTGTTGCCCTGGCTAAAGCGCCATGGCGTCAGCCTAGCTCAAAGCAACCTCAAACTCGTGGGGTCAGGCAATCCTCCTGCATCAGCCTCCCGAGTAGCTGGGACTACATGCATGCACCACCATGCCCGGCTAATTATATATATATATTTTTTTAGTTGGCCAATTAATTTCTTTCTATTTTTAGTAGAGACGGGTCTCATTCTTACTCAGGCTGGTTTCAAACTCCTGACCTTGAGCAATCCTCCCGCCTCACCTTCCCAGAGTGCTAGGATTACAGGCATGAGCCACCGTGCCCAGCCTACAGAAAAATTAAAAAAAAAATTGGTCAGGCTCAGTGGCTTGCACCTATAATCCCATCTACTTGGAAGGCTGAAGCAGGAAGATACTGTGTTTCCCCGAAAATAAGACAGGGTCTTATATTTATTTTTCTACAAGAAGACACCATAGGGCTTATTTTCAGGGGATGTGTTATTTTCCCCTCAAAGCCTCAACTTGCAGCACACACAGGATGGCCGGGACCTGACAGGTGGAACCGACCTTATTGGTGGGGCTGCCTGCATCTTTCCAGTCACCTCTGGGACAGTAGCTGTCACGGTGGGGCAGATGAGAAGGGCTGCTCGTCTTCTTTACTACTCCCTGAGGAAATGCATGGGTTGTGCAGATATGCTGCGTAGCCACGTTCATCACTAGGTCTTATTTTCGGGGTAGGGCTTATATTGCACAAATGCTTAGAAATCCTGCTAGGGCTTATTTTATGGGTAGGTCTTATTTTCAGGAAAACACGGTAGCTTGAGCCCAGGGGTTCAAGACTGCAGTGAGCTATGATCATGACACTGCACTTCAGCCTAGGCAACACAGTGAGATCCTATCTCTATTTGAAAAAAAAATAGAGAATTTACCCTCATATTTTATAATCTCAAAAACTGGAGGTTGCAAACTATGCAAATGAAGCATGATTAGAATGGCTATGCCTTACTTGTGGCATGTTTATATACTATGAATAATAGGGATTGTACATTTTCAACATAGCCCTCTGAAAACAAAAAAATATTAAACCTACCATTATAAAGTTAAATCAACATTATCAAGTTAAGTAAGACTCTACTTTGCATGCAAGCTTTATTATTTCACATGTTAGTTAACCTAAACCCACCTGACTGGAGATGTCCGTTCCGGCATGTCAAATTAGTACTGTCATTATAGACGTCCGTTTGTGACTTGGAAAATGGCAAAACTGGTTGCAGCTTCTCTATGCAACAGAGGGGGTTAAAAAAAAAAGGAACAAAATAAACAAAAACAAAAGAAATATAATGAACAAATAAAATGTGCATGTGAAACTAATTAAAAATTATACAAGGTGTTACAAGGTTATTACAAGATGAAGCTTTTGCACTTAAAGGTCTTTAAAAATATAATTAGTAAAAATTCAGACATGAAAATAGCAACAGAAATTAATGAGTGGATGGCTATGTTCAAAATATGCCTTATTTAGGTTAGGTAACCAGCGGCAGTTACATATCACTATTATCATCAGGAAATATTTACCAAATATTTAATATATTCACATCACTGTATTGGGAGAGTACCATGGAGATTTAAAAAAATGAAATGGTTTCTACTATGTAGATATTTATTAAATATAATTGGCAACTTGCAATATATTTTTTAAAAAGACTGCATAGTACAAAAGAAAGACCACTGAAAAGGCTTTACAGAGGAAGTAGATTATGAGCTGGCTAGGATTTGAAAAGACAAAAAGAAAGGACATTTCAGGAAAGGAGAACAGCACTTAAAAAAGTAGAGAAGGAAACTATATTAACTACATATGGGCCGGGCGTGGTGGCTCACACCTGTAATCCTAGCACTCTTGGAGGCCAAGGCGGAAGGATCGCTCAAGGTCAGGAGTTCGAAACCAGCCTGAGCAAGAGCAAGACCCCCATCTCTACTAAAAAAAATAGAAAGAAATTAATTGGCCAACTAAAAATATATAGAAAAAATTAGCTGAGCATGGTGGCGCATGCCTGTAGTCCCAGCTACTCAGGAGGCTGAGGCAGAAGGATTGCTTGAGCCCAGGATTCTGAGGTTGCTGTGAGCTAGGCTGATGCCATGACACTCTAGTCCAGGCAACGAGTGAGACTCTATCTCAAAAAAAAAAAAAAAAAAAAACCACAATAAAAAAACTACATACGTCAGCCAAAAAATAAAAGCAATAAAATAGAGTGGAATAAGCATGCTGCAGTAAGTATGTGTACAGTATCCTACCATTTGTTTAAACAAACACACGTGCACAGTTAAATACATGAAGATAACACTAAAAATGACCCAGAGAAACTGGTAACAGTAGCTGTCTCTGGGGAGGAAAATGAGTAGCTGAGACATAGAATGGGATGGATGTTTTTTCATATTTAAGCTTCTAAAATTTTGGGCATGTGCCCATATCGCATACATTTAAAATTAATCAGTTAAATATTAAAAAGGCTTATTTTAAGCCTACTCCATAGTCCAAATAACAAAAAACCCTCTTAAGATCTGGGTCTCTAAGTCTAACATCTGAAGCACAAGAAGGTGGCACAGTTTGCTCTTCCTTGCCACTCTACACCACTGCTATACTCTCTTCCCCCACTCAAAGAGTCAATCTATGGCTAGCTGATGTACACTCTGGTCCACCACTTACTAGTGACATGACCTTGCATTTGCCTCAGGATTAAATAATGTATACAAGGTATGCATGCACTCTGTGTCTCATCCAATATAGGGGCTCAATTTTTAGTATACTTTATTTTTTTTTGCTGAAATACTCCAAGTCATCAAAACTGATTCTTTTCTTCTATACCAGCAAGTAAGTGAACACATATAAAAATGCAACATATATATAATATATATACTAACTCTCTTCGACTTTAATTTCTAAGGTCAGACAAGCAGGCACCATACTTGGTTTATGGCACATGCCTTTGGGACAGGTTAAATAGCAGCAACTCCTTTTGCACAAAACACACAGTACTACAAAGCTTTTGTATCCTAGAATTGGCTGATACAATATACCCTGGACCTTTTTTATAATTTGGTTTGCTAACAGGTAGGCCATCTGATTTTTCTCAGTGATAATATTCTTTAAATCACCATACTAAGACAAAAACCGTTTGTGTTGGTTAAAGCATAAATTAAAAAACATACTGATTTGTAAATGCATTTTTCATCAATTAACACTCTCTTCAATGAAATGTAAGAAAAAGTTCACAGAAATATTCATTATATAATAAAAATAAATGGAAATTAAATCCTTTGTTTTGATAACTAAGACTAAAAAACTATAGAACTTTTTAGGTCCACAAAGTTTAGATTTGTATGTGTAGAAACACACACATAAACATTATAGTAGTACAATGCTACTGTGAACCTTCTCTCATTCATTTTTGTTAAATAAAGTAAACTTAGATTAGCGCTTGCTTTTAGGATGACTGAAGTTGAGTAGAGTAGTCAATGGTTGAAATTAAAATAGTAACCTTGCTTCTTGACCTCTCATACTCAACCTGCATACAATCATCTGAGTGATCTACTGAAAAGGAAAATCTTGCCATATAGCTACTCTTCTACTTAAAACCTGTTAGTGGCTTAGATTAGAACTCAAGCTTCTTTGTATGACAAACCAGGCCACTCATGTTCTGCCTACATCTGTTATGCCTGAGCAATCCCAACTTCATGCCTCTACCAGCACTCTCCCCTACTCACCATGCTGTTTCTTGCTCCTGAGTCTTTGTTCATGCTGTCACTTCTTCCTGAGATGTCTTTTCTTGTGTGCTTTAATAACTTTTATTTATCTTTTTAAGTCTGCAGTTTAGGTTTTACTTCTTCAAGGAAGCTTTCTCAGAAACCTATTTTCCCATCCTTACAAAATAATATTTGTATACCCCCATCCTGTAGTGATAATTATCTATTTATGTGTCTTTTCTCCTACTATATTATGAGATGTGTTTTTTCTCCTGCTATATTATGAGATCCTTAAACAGAGGAATATTTTGTCCAGTCTATCAGTAAATCCATTTGTTCAACCTTCAAATATAATCATAATCCAACCACTTGTTATCATTTCTCCTGAAACCACCCTGGTCCAAGCCTCCATCGTTTTTCTCCTAGATTATTGCAGCCATGTCCTAAGTGCTCTCCCTGGTTCTGACTGTAGAGTCTATATTCAACATAGCAACCAGTCATCTTTCTAAAACTTAAGTCACATTATATCATTCCTTTCCTAAGAATCCTTATCACTGCCCCCCATTTCACAGATGGTAAAAGCTCAAGTCCTCATGGTGGCTTACACAGCCTGAAAGTGTTGTGACAACACCTCCTCCACTACCCAACTGTGAATTTTCTGACCTTGCCTCTACTATACTCTCCTTTCTGGGGCAAACTGACCTCTTTCTTGCTTCACAAATACACCAGGTATACTCTCTTAAGGCTTCTTCTCTCTGGATCATTCTTCTCTCAGATATTTTCATGGCTAACTCATACCAACTTGTCAAAGAGAGACAACCTGACAATCTTGTTTAAAAGTAAAAATCCAAACTACCTCCTGTCCACTCCTAATCTCCCTTACTGTGTTTTACTTTTTCTTTTCTTTTTTCATATATTTATCACCTTTTAATATACTGTATAACCTTATTTTTCCTGAAACAGTGTCTCACTCTGTTGCCTGGACTAGAGTGCCACGGCGTCAGCTTAGCTCACAGCAACCTCAAACTTCTGAGCTTCAGCAATCCTTCTGCCTCAGCCTCCCGAGTAGCTGGGATTACAGGCATGTGCCACTATGCCTGGCTAATTTTTTCTATATATATATATTTTTAGCTGTCCAGCTAATTTCTTTCTATTTTTTTTAGCAGGGACGGGGTCTTGCTCTTGCTCAGGTTGGTCTCAAACTCCCGAGCTCAAACGATCTGCCCGCCTCTGCCTCTCAGAGTGCTAGGATTACAGGTATGAGCCACCATGCCTAGCCAATAACTTATTTATAATGTTTATCATCTACTATCTGCCTTCTCCCTGCTGGAATATAAACTCTATGGAGGAGGAATCTTTCTCTATATCTCATGTGCCAACAACAGACCCTAGTACATGGTAGTCACCGAATAAATATTTGCTGAGTTAATAAATAAATTCAGTTAAATTCCCCTAACATTATGCCAGGTACATAGTAGGGCCTTAATAAATGAATAGTGGCAGGGGAGGGGATGTGTGTATTCACACCTAATGCGGTACGCTTATAGGTCTGACTTGGGTGGGGAAAAGGCAATATATGTAACCTAAACATTTGTATCCCTGTAATATTCTGGAAAAAAAAATAAGTGGATTGTAAATTAAGCTGTTTAACAAAAAGTATAACTGCCAGGTATACTAAGATGCTAAAATCAAAATTATCTTTTTATCTACAGCAGATTTTACAGTTAACCTTTGCTATAAAGTTCATTATCAATAAACCAAAGATAAATAATATATATGAACTTTTCCCAGAGGTTGCATCCTCTCAAATCAGTCTATAAGAGTAACTTCCAGGATCATTCTCCCCATCCTTCATCCTACTTAGACACCCATCTGGCGCCATACTTCTGAAAAGTTCCAATTTTTACTAACACATAATACACAAATGAGTTTTACTATGCATTTGTACACAGATCTTTTTTACTGTCTTTAGCACATCCACTCCCAGACCTTGTGAGTTCTTAGAAGACAGGAATATGTTGACACCTCCTCTCCCATCCACCTCTTCCCACTTTTAAAATAACATATTTCATAAATGGGCACATAGCATTTTTGAGGACAAACTGGGAGGAGGATTACTTGAGCTCAGGAGTTTGAGACCAGCCTAAGCAAGAGCGAGATCCGATCTCTACTAAAAATAGAAAAAATAACTGGGTGTCATGGTACATGCCTGTAGTCCCACCTACTGGGGAGGCTGAGGCAGGAGTATCCCCTGAGCCCAGGAGTTTGTGGTTGCAATGGGCCATGATGACATCACTGCATCCTATCCAGGTGACAGAGTGAGACTCTGTCTCAAAAAAAAGAAAAAAGAAAGAAAGAAAAGAAAAAAAGGGCCAGGCGCAGTGGTTCACAGCTGTAATCCTAGCACTCTGGGAGGCTTAGGCAGGAGGATCACCTGAGGTCAGGAGTTTGAGACCAGCCTGAGGAAGAGCGAGATCCTGTCTCTACGAAAAATAGAAAAAATTAGCCAGGCATGGTGGCGCATGTCTATAGTTCCAGCACGTTGGGAGGCTGAGGCAGGAGGATTGCTTGAGCCCAGGAGTTTGAGGTTGCTGTGAGTTAAGCTAACGCCATGGCACTCTAGCTTGGGCAACAGAGCAAGGCTTTGTTTCAGAAAAAGAAAAAAAAAATTACAAAGTCACATTCAAAGACAAGTCTATAATTGACAAGACATTTCCAATGTGTTATCATATTACAACTTCAAGTAAAAGATTAAAAACCAATTTTTCTCTTTTATTTTTTTAATTTATTTTTAAAAAAAATTTCAATTACTTCTTTTTTTCTTACACTGTCATAAAAATCCTCACGATGCATAAAACCAATTTTTAATTATTCAATTTGAAATGTTACCAAATATTCCATAATCCAATGTATTCTGCATCATATGTGATAATTTACACATACACTGAATCGCTTTATAGCTAAAAACACATAGCACCAATTGGAACAATTATTTTACTGCAACAACATTTAATACAATATTTAATTGTATTTGATAAAGTAATAACCTTCACTTGGGAAGGAAGAAGGCAACCCCTGTCAGCCTCAGAAGGCAGAAGACCACCACCTTGTCAGCCATCTGAAAGCAGTAAGGGCTGCTTTTTTAACAATACAGGGCAAAAAACCATACAAACACAATGACTATGCAAGATCAAATGAATGAGTGAATGAATAAAAATGTTTATGTATGTATATATGAATATATCTTTCTACATAAGCTGGGGAGGTGATTACAGACGGGTTAAGGAGTTGAATAAAAACCAACATTTTAAAAGTACTTACTGTGGGTTGGGTTCCTTTAATAATTCAATGGTCACAAAGATGAGATAATATTATCTATTAGTCTCATTAAAAATTAGGTTAAAAAGGCTTAGACATGGCAAAATAATTTACCCCAAATCACAGAGCTACAAATAAATAAGGTGTGTCTGTTTGCCAACTATCTACTATTTCCATCACACCAAGGTATGGTAGAACCACTCATGCATGGTGGGTTTTTGCTCCAGTTTGAGTGGTATATTTACCTAAAAAATATTTTTAAAATCTATACCATCAAATAGAAGATTATGAAAGTTTTCTATTATAGCTGATGAATGCTGAAAGAATAACAGAATTTAAATTCAATAGGCATTAGTCATAGGTAATTGTTGCTAACCCTCACAGGAAGATTGGAAGAACCGATGAATATACACAACCACCTATGATGTAGTCCTATTGTAAAAAAATAAAAATCAACTCTCAATTTGATCAAGCCTTATATCCAACTATCAATATACAGGATGGACAGAAGAACATGTTAAAAATACCATAGGGATGCACATACCAAGAGTCAGACTGTAGGAAACACCATGGGACAAAGACCTGGTTTTATCAATAAAAAAACTGCAATAAAAATAAAAACAGATGGGCCTATACATTAAAAGAGACATAATATATGGATCTGAGATCCTGGTTAAAATAACCAAGTTATTAAAAAAATTGTAAAAGTTATTAAATTATGACAAAATTAGAAATTTGTGGGCGTGGTGGTTCAGGCCTATAATCCTAGCACTTTGGGAAGCTGAGGCGGGCGGACTGCTTGAAGCCAGGAGTTTGAGACCAGCCTGAGCATGAGCAAGATACCCTCTTTAAAAAAAAAAAGAGAAAATTAAAAAAAAAAAAAAAAAAAGAGAGAGAGAGAAAAATTAGATGGGCATGGTGGCTCATGCCTATAGTCCCAGCTACTCAGGAAACTGAGGCAGGAAGACTGCTGGAAACCAGGAGTTGGAGGGTTGCAGTGAGTTATTATGATGCCACTGCACTCTAGCCTAGGTGACAGAGTGAGAAAAAAAACAATCACACAACAACTTTAATTAAAAAAGAAAAGAAATTTGGATACTGTCCATTTTTTCTGTTAATGTTAAAAGAAATTATTGTCTATTTCTTAGGTGTGACAATGGTATTTCAGTGATTTTATTAAATATTTTTAGAGTCCTTATCTCTTAGAGATACAATATGAAATACTTATAAAAAGATCAAAAATTTGTTTCAAAATAATATGAAGAAGGGGAGGGTGAAGAGGGATAAAAGGGAGGTTGGCAAACTTTTTCTGTAAAGGGCCAGATAGTAAATATTCTAGGTTTTGAGGGTTATGTGATCTCTGTATCAGCCATTCAACTCTGCCACTGTAGCAAGAAAGCCATAGACAATACACAAAGGAATGGGAGCAGTTGTATGTGAATTAAACTTCATAAAATTAAATAATAGGCAGTGAGCTGGTGTGGCCCATGGGCAGCAGTTTGCCAGTCCTTGTATAGATAAATCAAGACTGAACCATGAGTTGATAATTATCACAGCTGAATGATGAATAATTAGGAGGTTTCTTACACTCTTCTGTTTATATACGTTAGTTTTCTGTAAGTTAAAAACGAAAGCCTAAAACTATATTTCCAGTCATTGATCTATTTCTATCTACAATTATTTTGTTTTTGTTTTAAAGACAAGGTCTCACTATGTCACCAAGGCTAGAATACAGTGGCACCATCAAAGCTCACTGCAGCCTCAAACTCCTGGGCTCAAGCAATCCTCCTGCCTCAACCTCCCCCTGCCTCAACCTCTCCCTGCCTCAGCCTCCTAAGCAGCTGGGACTACATGTGTGTACCACCACGCCCAGCTAATTTTTCTTACTTTTTGTAGAGACAGGGTCTCGCTATGTTGCTCAGGCTGGTCTCAGACTCCTGGCCTCAAGCGATCCTCCTGCCTCAGCCTCCCAAAATGCTGGGATTACAGGTGTAAGCCACCACACTTGGCCCCCTATCTATCTACAATTGAAGTTTTATTAAACACACATTTCCAATACATTTCATATCCAATTATATCACACATTAAGTGATACCTAGAAGTTGTAAACGGTCCTTAGCCATAACCAAATTAGTCATCATTTTAGCTTGAAGGCGTCTAGCTCTTTCACATTGTTCACCTGAAAGAAAAAAGATAAAGAGGTATTAATTAAAATATCTACATTTCCCTACCAATATCGTTTCAAAATAAACTATCACCCCCAACTACTCTCTTGGGGAATAAAAGTCTTTATAAAAAAGTTAAGAAAATAGTATTTTCAAATAATAGCTATTAAAAAAATTAATTACCGTTTCTTGTGATGGTTTCAGACCTATTATGGTATATTATGGATTCTGTGCATATTTCATGGAGCCTAAGACATTTTTTTCCCCACATTTCAAAATCTTTGAAATTGGGATGTGTTTTAAAATAGTGCCAACTTATTTAATACTAATGCCATCAGCGAGGCTACAGTGATAATACAGTTTTTCATTGCTTGTGCGGGCATAAATTTGGTCATAGACATTAATACTGTTATAGCAATGTCTAAATAAGACAACAAACAGCCTATGCAATAAGATTAAAATTCAAATTCTAAGTAATAAGAAGAACACATATCATAGTTAAACTGACATAGTTTTTTTCTCTTAGTAGTACCATTGAAGATAAAAGTGTTTTTCTTATAACCAAATGTAACTTCTTCTAACTTTTCTTCTATGTAACTGACAAAGAACAAATATATTTTGCACATAATTCATAAAGTAATGCTCAAAGTCTTAAAGGCCTACCTCCCATGTTTACTTATTCTATTCTGCTTTCTTTTATATAGGAGACCAGTAGCTAGAGATGTAGTCAAAATATAATGGGGAGAGGAAAAAAGTAGAGTAAATATCAGACATATTATAAATTGTAGAGTCATCTAGTCAGCCAACAAACATCTATTGAATGGATTAATTCTTAGCCTAAATACTGTACTTTTTTATTCTGAATCTGTTTTAGCTATGATAAACTAAAATACTTTGATACCCACATACTACACAATATTCATAGCATAGTATTTAAGAATTTGAAGTCAGACTGAGTTCACTTGCAGCTTGAGATTTTAGGTAAATTTTAACTTCTCTACTTTAGGTTATTCATCTAAAAAAAAAGATAACAGCAGCTACAGGTGGTGGTCAAAATTAAAAGAAATACTAATATGAAGCAGTTACAATGATACTTGGGTATATGTAGTAATTATGTAATAAATGCTAGCTATATATTTAAAGATACTGTTAGATACTAATTTTTAATCTGAGGTGCTAAAAAAGTAGAAAAATAACTGTTGGTTTAAAAAGCCGAGTGTGAATTAAGATAAGATATTTACAGCTCATATTCTAACATGCAGTCAAGGAGCATTACCCACAAGTACAAAAGCAATTTGTGGTTTAACTATTCCTTCCCTCCTTGATGATGAAGAAGGGACTAGCTTTCAAAAATAGGGCTAAAACATGTGATCAATCACCAACAGTGGTACCAAGGAGGAAACAAGTAATGTAGACATCATTGCTGGACTGCTACAAGTAAATCAAGTTTCAGCATATCTGATTATAATTTCATTTTTAGAATAAATCATAAAGATTAACTATAAGTCTATAAATGTTAACAATAACATTTAAAAATGTTTATCTTCGCTAAGATAAATAGATCTAAGGACAATCATGTGAATATAATTTGGAATGGCTATAAACAAAGATAACTATAACCTTACCTTGTCCTGTAACTATGACTGCTATTCCTTTTTCTAGTTCTTCAATACCTTTCTTATACCATTCCACAGCTTGGTCCTTCTGTCCTGCTTTAAAATAGAAATAATTATTTGTATATATCCCAAATGCAAAGAACACAAACATTTCCCAAAGCATGCTACTGATAGACGATACATGAAAAATAGGGTTGTGATCAAGTAAGTCTGAGAAACATTACTACATAATTTCTTAGTACTTTTAGTATCTTAATGTGTATATGTATCTACAAGAGGGGAATATAGTCACAATGTTTCTTAAAATTTTAGGGCTGTCTTTCTTGCTTATCATCTTATGGGGTTTTTTTGTTTATTTTTTTTGATACAGAGTCTCATTCTGTCATCCTGGTGTATAGTGCAGTGGCATCATTGTAGCTCACTGCAACCTCCAACTAACTTCTGGGCTCTAAGTGATCCTTCTGCCTAAGCCTCCCAGATAGCTGGGACTACAGGCACCCACTGCAATGCCTGGCTGAGGTTTTTTTGGTAGTGACCGGGTCTCACTCTTGCTTAAGCTACTCTAGAATTCCTGGGCTCAAGCAATCCTCCCGCCTTGGCCTCACAAAGCCTCATAAGGATTACTGGTGTGAGCCACCACACCCCGGCACCATCTCATGGTATTGATGTTCATAACCACTGAAATGCTGTACTAGGGAAATAAATTTTATTTAGGAATTTTCTTGAATATACACTTATGAAAATTATAAACACAATTTCAATAAAAATGAAGAAAACAAGCACTATTCAATTTAACATTTCAATCTCGTGTAATGAATTCATTGTTGGGTACCTCCTTTCCAGAATAGTTTTTATTTAACAATTGACTGTATCATGAGAACTGGTACATGAGATTACAAATGCACCGTTTAGTAATACATACATTATTTTTCTTTCTTCCATGTTTTTTTTTAGAGACAGGGTCACACTGTCACCCAGGCTGGAGTGCAGTAGTGCAATCATAGCTCACTGCAACCTCAAACTCCTCAGCTCAAGAGATCCTCCTCTGCCTCAACATCCAAACTAGCTGGGATTTCAGGTGCACACCACCACACCCACCTAATTTTTCATAGAGATGGCATCTAGCTACATTGCCCAAGCTGGCCTCAAACTCCTAGCCTCAAGCAATCTTCCTGTCTCAGCCTTGCAAAATGCTAGCATTACAGGTGTGAGCTATCATGTCCACATTTCTATTTTCTTTAAACCAAACGACTAGTTTAAAACATTAATACTTGATCCAAATTAAGCTTAAAAAGGATCTAAAAATTTGGAATAATCAAAATACACATAGGATACTTTATTTTTATGTTATTTTTTTAAAGGTGGAAGGCTGTGAGCAGGGGTGTTCAGTTGCCTTGTTTGTTTTTGTTGAAACAGTCTCACTCTGTTGCCCTGGGTAGAGTGCAGTGGTGTCACTGTAGCTCACTGCAACCTCCAACTCCTGGGCTCTAAGCGAACCTTCTGCTTCAGCCTCCCAGGTACCTGGGACTACTACAGGTGATCACTGCAATGCCTGACTGGGGTTTTATTTCCTTTCTTTTTGGTAGAGACAGGGTCTCTCTCTTGCTCAGGCTAGTCTCAAACTCTTGAGCTCAAGTGATCCTCAGCCTCCCAGAGTGCCAGGATTAAAGGCATGAGCCACTGTTTTGGGCCCAAAATGTGTATAGGATACTTCTATAAAGTGATCATTATACCCAAATCTCATTGTTTTTCAAAATTAACTTCTTGGTCTTTAGAATCTGCAAAGCCTCATAAGTGACTAATACAGAGACAGAATAAACCAAAGGCAGAAATCAATGATTAGAACTGTTTTTCATTTTTTCCCAATCTCATAAGAAAAATTTCTTATAATATCATCAGAATCTTACACTACCTACACTGCAAAAGATTCTTGAGTTTGTTGTAAATCAACTCAAGTTATTTCTTTTTTTTTTTTTTTTGAGACAGAGTCTCACTTTGTTGCCCAGGCTAGAGTGAGTGCCGTGGCGTCAGCCTGGCTCACAGCAACCTCAATCTCCAGGGCTCAGCGATCCTACTGCCTCAGCCTCCCGAGTAGCTGGGACTACAGGCATGCGCCACCATGCCCGGCTAATTTTTTGTATATATATTTTTAGTTGGTCAATTAATTTATTTCTATTTTTGGTAGAGACGGGGTCTCGCTCAGGCTGGTTTCGAACTCCTGACCTTGAGCAATCCGCCTGCCTCGGCCTCCCAGAGTGCTGGGATTACAGGCGTGAGCCACCACGCCCGGCAACTCAAGTTATTTCCATGTTCACCTTCTTGGTTTCAATAAAGAAAATATCTGTTTACATGTTAATTTGAAAATAAAGGGGAAATTACAGAAAATATTAAAATAGCACTTGCATTCTGACTGTGAGAATATTGATAACAATGTCCTATTTACTGAAAAACTTAAAAACACTGAGTACAACATAGCAGATATAACAGAAATTTCTTTCTTGTGTCTCTTCCCATTTCCATGCCCGTTCCCTTCTGAGAAACCACTATCACAAATTGCGTATCTTTCTAGTACATGTTTTTCTATTGTCCATATCTATATTTGTATTATTTTTAATATACATTTTGAAGACTAACCAAATGCATAAATTTATGTTTCTTTTGAGATCTAAGTAGCCAGTTCATTCATTTTGACTTCTGTACAGTATCCTGTATTATCCTACAATTTATTAAACTATTTTTTCTATTAAAGGATATTGAGATTGTTTCTGTTTTTTTAATATTTTAAACAGTGCTGCAATAAACATACTTGTACCTGTCTCCTAATGCATATCTCCAGTTTCTCTAGGGTATAAGCTTAAGAAATACAATTGATGTGTCATATAGTTCATCATAATTTCTCTATTCACCAGAAATCAGCAAAGTGCTTTTTAAGAGTGCTTGTGCCCCCATCAAAAATAAAAAAATTTAAAAAAATAAAATAAATAAAAAAAAGAGTGCTTGTGCCAATTTATAGTGCTAACAGTAGTGTATGAGAGTTCTCATTGACAACATCCTTATGATCATTTGATTCTGTCATTCATATACTCTATATTTTTAAATGAATATTGTGTATAGAACAAAATTTTCAAAGTATTTTTTACCAAACAATTGAAGGACAAAAAAGATAAACTGTATGTTGATTTTTTTTTTTTAAAGAAATAGGATCTTGCTCTGTCACGCAGGCTGCAGTACAGTGGCACCATTATAGCTCACTGTAGCCTTGAACTCCTGGGCTCAAGCAATCCTTCTGTCTCAGCCTCTCCTGTAGCTGGGAGTATAAGCACACGCCACCACACCTGGCTAATTTTTTAAATTTTTTTATAGAGATGAGGTCTCACTATGTTGCCCAGGTTGCTCTAGAACTCTTGGCCTCAAGTCATCCTACTGCTTTAGCTTCCCAAAGTGCTGGGATTATAGGCGTGAGCCACTATGCATGGCCCTGCTAACCTATTTTAAAACAACAAAATGTTTTGAGGACACATAATCTCTAGGCAAATGAGTAATCACAAATAAATTCACTTACTCTATGACCTAACATTCTTTGGTAACAGCTAGTTCATTTATTGCATCATTTGAATCTCATAAGTTAGTATGATAGTAGAAAATGCAGATACCTCTTACCTAAAAGTACAAGACTACTAGAGATATAAAAATATAGGTCAATGGAACAGAAAAGGAAGTCCACAAACAGTCCCATGCATATGTTGTTGATTGACTTAGATAAAAAGGACAAGGTAATTCAAGGAAGAAAGAACAGCATTTTCATTACTCAGGAGGTTGAGGAAGGAGGATTGCTTGAACCCAGGAGTTCAAGACCAGCCTGAGCAATATAGTTAGGGGTGGGGGGGGGCGGGGGGGGGGAGATGCTGGATAAACAACATTAACATGCAAAAGAATAAACTTCACACCACATAGAAAAATTAACTTGAAATGGATCACAGACCTAAATGTAAAATCTAAAAATATACAACTTATAGAAGAAAATATAGACCAGGTGTAGTAGCTCACGCCTGTAATCCTAGCACTTTGGGAAGTCGAGGTAGGAAGATTGCTTGAGGTCAGGAGTTTGAGACCCCATCTTCAAAATAAGTAGAAAAATTAGCCAGGCATGATGGTACATGCCTGTAGTCCCAGCTACTCATGAGACTGAGGTGGGAGGACTTCTCGAGCCCACACTGCTGTGGGCTATGATGACACCACTGCACTCTAGCGTGGGCGACAGCATGAGACTCTGTCTCAAAAAAAAAAAAAAAAAAAACACAAAATTCTTTGTAATCTTGGGTTAGGCAAAGATTTCTTAAAGAGAATACAAAAATCATAAACCATAAGAGGAAAACACTGATAAACCAGATTTCATTAAAACTCCTGCTCTTCAAAAGACAGAGTAAATACAATGAAAAGACAAGCCACAGAATGATTGTGAGAAAATATTTGTAAAACAACATTTTTTTTTTTTTTGAGACAGGGTCTTACTATTTTGCCCAGGGTGGTTTCAAACTATTGGGCTCAAGGGATCCTCCTGCCTCAACCTAGACTCTCAAGTAGCTGGGAATACAGGTGCATGCCACCAAGCCTAACTAACATGTCTAAAAAGGACTTGTAACTAATATATATAAAGCATTCTTACAACATAATGGTAAAATTTTAAATAGGGGGCAAAAGAGTGAAATATACACTTTGCCAATGAAGAAATGTAAATGGCAAATGAGCATATGCTCAACATCACTAGTTGTTAGGGAAGTACGAATTAAAACCATAAGATACCCCAATGTACCTAATTTAGAATGGCAAAAAACAAAAGCACAGGAAAATCCCAAAACATTGTAAGAGAAAAGACAACAGACCTCTCATATGTTTGCTGGTGGGGATACAAAACGGTACAGCCAGTTTGGAAAAGAGTTCAGTAGTTTCTTATGACATTAAACATATATTTACTACATGACCCAGCAATTCCTTCTTCTACATATTTACCCAACAAGAATGAAAATATCTAAGATCGGTATATGAATTTTTACAGCAGCTTTATTCATAAGAGCTACAAATGGGAAACAACCTAA